AGAACACTTACTTCAATGCAAGTTGTAACTTAAAATGACCCACATCTTTCCTTTTATGTAAATCTGGAGCAGTAAAGTTAAAATTATGTCACCTTGAATTCCCAGTGATAAATGTTATTAGAAAGCTTCAGCTTTCAAGCTGCATCTCAAAATGGATTTGTCTAATTTGTATCTTTTTCATTCCCTCATAAAAGATGCAACACTGAACAAACACATGGCAGGGTTCAGATGGAAAATTTTAAACAGACAGTAGAGATGTTACTTTGATTTGGAGTGGAAAAGGTAGACACAGTGGTAGAATAGTGCAGCTGTCAATAATTTTGTGGTCTGGCTCCCTTTGTTCCTTTAACTTACATTAAAGGAGAGATTAGCCTTTATTCTCGTCTGCAGTTTAAGAAGTGTTGTCCATGAATTTCTAAGCTTCAGACAAAACTGGGTTGTATTTCCAGTGACTGCATGAAGCCCACAGATGCAAAGAACATCTGCTAGGCTTTGCATATTTGGTGATTGCTTGGAAGTGCTTTTTGACTGCTAGACGAAACCAAGGCTGGTTTAAAACTGAACTTTGTTAACCTGTGTGGCTTCTTTGAAGAACTTGTATGGGCCTCGTGCAAGTGAATACAATTCTTAGATTACAAATCACCTTGTTAGATATAAAGTCCACATGTGACAGTGTGACTGGTTGCAGTCCCTGTGCCAACAGTTGGAGCAATCCAAAGTTCAGTGTAGGATGATCACCTTTGTTACTAGTCTTGGAGCAACAGTCAGGGCTGTTCTGCAAAGCTGTGTAGAACTGGTCAGATAGCCTCTTTGGTAAGCCAAGAATATCTACTCAAAAGCTGAATGCCAGCATAGGTTTTGCTGGGGGGAACTATTGGCCAAACAGGTTGAAAATTGAAACATGTGCTGTTACAAGATCCAGTTTGGCCAGTTTTGGAGCAAGTGACTAGAAGCAGTGCTTCCAGATAAAAACTTCAGCTTGGACAGCTTCATATCTCAAATTTTTAAATACAGTGCTTTAATGTTATTTTTCCTTGCCTGCTGTTGTTTTAGGGTATCTGCAAAGAGAAATTAAATCTTCATTTGAGAACCAAAACAGAGCTAGGAGATGCAGAAACTCTGAGTGCAGGAATTGGAAAGGTATTTTTACTGGCTGAAGATACTTTGATTTTTGCCAATTCTCAAGCCACCCAGTTCATTTGTGAATAAAGATGAATGTCAGGCTGGAACAAGATGTCAAATTCATCAAGGCGGCCAGATTTTTAACTGGATTCTGAAAGAAAGCGAGGATCTGCAAGTGGTGGGAAGCAACATTTTGCATGCATTGTAGCTTAGAGGAAAGGCATACTTTATCCAGGGTAGAGTTGTGAGGTAAATGAGGACTTTATACGGGGGAGAAAGGCAGTGTATAAATATGGTGGTATAGATGTGGAGATATGTAGGCAAATATGTAGTCTTGGTAACTGTTTGGTCTCAGAGCTAAAATAAACAAAGGTTCTGAAACAAAGCGTTTTAATATGTGAAAGCAATGATGGGAAGAAAAGCATGCTTCAGGGAACAAAGTTTTCCTTCATGTAAGGCTCATAGCTCTGTGTAGTCAAGTAACATGTAGCAGATGTGTTTTAATGGGTTTTGACACTTCCCTGACTTTCCATTTGTTTATGTGAGATGCCAAATAGGAGTGGGAGGAGAACTTTTTAAAGAGATATTTGACCATGCAGACAGCTCATGTGGGGCTACAGCAGAACCAAACTGCTGAAATGTGATGGTCTCAAAATCAGTTTGGTATGTATACCTGTACTAATAGCATCTCTTTTTGCAATCTCTTCAGTGTGTCTATCATGTCATGGTGCAATCAATTATTTAGAACAGGAGCCAGTCTAAATAGGTAGGCAGACAAAGGAAAGAAAAGGAGGACTTTGGATAGGGCTTGCAGAGTAAATTGCATCTGGTCATGAAAGAGCTCTGTGGGAGTATGTCTAGGATTGCACTAATGTCTTTACCTCAGAATCATGTTCTTGAAGCACGTTTTTCTCCCCAGGGTTCCCTATGTTGGGACCTTCCTGGATGATGCTCCAAGCACAATGAAATCTGATATGCAAAACACCTTTATTATAAATACTGTTGCACCAGTATTTATATACAGTGAATAAAAGACTAGGGCTTATAGCAAAACCCCAGACCTGTATATTCTGTATTAATATAAAATACTGTACTTAATCTCTGTGTAAAAGTATCTGCATGGAAGCTTTAAATCTTGAAATAGATTGCTCACACTGAGATCTCTGAACTTCTGCTTTAGCGACCCTGCAACTAAGGTGAATCCAGGCTTGCACTTTTTAAAAAATAATCATAATTCAATGTTTGCCTTTTAGTAAAGGATTAAAAAATGGGACACACTTCTAAGTTACATTTGCAGAGCTGGAATTTGAGATGCTGTCTTCCAAATCCAAAGGCTGTTTTTTACTAGCTAACATTCTGTTGAGTGCTTGGACCTGGCTTGATAGTTTCTCTGTGGCTCCTGAATACTTCAGTAGTAAACATAATGGAATATTAACATTTAAATTCAATTTTAGAAAAGAAAATAATATTGGTGCGATAACATCTGACATTACAATATATTTGCAGAAATTTTGCATCCATTGATCTTAATGGAAACTGATACATTCTAAAAGCATTCATACTTTCAACTAAGTATATTATTGAGACGTAAGGGTGTTCAGGGGTTGATACTGATCAATATAATTCTCTTCTTAATAGAAATAATTGGAGTCAAGCTGGTGGACCAAGAGGTGGCATCTCAGCAGCTGCTGTAAAACTCCACAAACCACTAAATGCAGGCAAGGTAGAAGGGAGCAGGAACAGTGTGCTTCTCTAACTCTGGTTAGCCAAAATTTTGAAAACACATCATGCAAGTAGCTAGTACAGTTTATGGAAACATTTGTTTTAAACACTTCAGAGAAAGGAAAAACTGAGGACAAAACATTGTTGGTGGGGGGGTTAAGTAGCAATTTTTAATTGCTCTTAAGGATTTACTGACTGTGTGTGGTCTTTGTAAGTGCTGTTTGTAGCTCCCATGTTCTTCACTCAGAACATCAAAATCTTGATCACTTGCACGATAGCTGTTTTGGAGTGAAGCAAGACTTTTTGTTTGAAGAAGCTCTGTGTTATGTTGCAGATGAGGGCCATCACTATCTCTTACCCTGGTTTATGGGAAGTGACTGAGCATGCAAAAATGAGTAAATATCTTGGTACAGGCTTGGTTTCAGTCTTTGGATCCTGTTTTTCATATAAACATCTAATTCGGGACGCAAATAGGAAAGATGGAGTTCCCAAGCCCTTTTGACTTTGTTTCTCTTCAGTAGCATAAATGTAGTCCCAGACCCCAGAGGTGGTTACTGTGAATGCCGTTCCTGGAGCTAAGTATCTGAGGGGATGAGCACAGGTATGGTGTTAATTTTTATGGTTGTCTCTTATGGCCAGATTTGTACAGCACAAGCTTCCAGGTGGTAGTTCTCTGATGTCTACTTCTTGTGAAATTTTGCTTTTAAATCAGTTGGTTTATTTCCAGAGAGACAAGGGAATTGTCTTTGGCACACAAGCCACCCTTCTGTTCTCAGGTTTGACTGTAAGCAACTTACAATGCCAAGCACTCTGGGGCGGAGAGACGACACCAGTTCTGGTGAGGACGTAGTTTCTTCTATCCCATATGGTACTCGGGTTCCCTGCTTCAGGAGTTCTTTCTGCTGCGTTCAGCCTCTGTCTCAACGCCGAAGGCAATGCCCAGCAGGAGCAGATAGGTGTGGCGGCTGGAGCAAGCGGCCTGGGAGGAAACCAGCCTCTCTGAATGATTTCCCATGGCTCATCCTGGTGCAGAAGAGGTCTGAGGTGCCACAGCAGGCAATAGAGGGGGTGAAGGACAGTGTGTTGCCACTTGCTTGTGTTCATTTTGCCCATGGGTGCTGCCTTTTCTTCAGGCTGATGGCCACTGTTGTCTTCTGAGAGGTAAACCAGAGAAGGGTTCTGGCCTATTTATCTTGAAGTAGCGAGCACTCTTTAGAATGCCTTCGGCATTTCCCTGTTGCTTAGTTGCTGCAGTTAGCACAGAAAATCTTAAAGTGTTGTTCTGTTTTGTTTTGGGTTTTTTTTTTTTAATTGAGCTGAATTAAGGTATTTGTTTTTAGGTCAGGAAAATGTAAGTTAACAATATGCTTCAAGTTCTTTAGATGAATTAAAATTTGGGAAAGCCAGTTACCTACCTCATCCTGGAAGTTGTTGGTTTGCAAATCATTCCATTCTCTTTGTAATAATATTTGAAAGTCATTGCTCCAAATTCTATTAGCATATTTGTGCTGCTTTGCATCAGTCAAAAAGCACAAAGGAAGCTTTATGTTCTTAACATGAAGATTTATGCAGTTTTCAAGAACAATACAGGATAGGTACGTGGGTGATCTGCTGCTCCAAATAAATAAGCTTCTTTCTACAGAAGTAAGAAATGTGTCAAAAGACGCACTGTCAAGTATGCAGAAAGTTGTGGTGGATCTATAAGTGAAGCGGAATTATTCATTAGCACTCTTAAGTTCTATTTATTGAGAAAATTCAATGGATTTCTAATTAAGGTGTGTATACAGTTTGCCTTTATTCCTGCCTGACTTGTATTTTATGTTTTGCTTAATAGAAGTGCATTTCTTTTGAATTCCAGCTTCCAGCCCCTTTGGAATTTACATCAACTCACTTGCATCATGGCAGGGATTTTTCCAGAGATCCCTTCAAAGCTATTTTCCTGGTTCTGCTTCTCTCGGCTAGTGATACTGTCTCCCAGTGATACTTCAGTTTGAGTTGCAGTGCTGCTGAATGTCGAGCAGCTGTGGCGTTGAAAATGCTGCTGTTCCCTTCACTGCAGAAGTTTAATGTATGGCTTCGGCAGACTATATAAAGAACTGAGATTGGTCACTGTAAACAAAGGCTTGAAGGTATCGATTTTGTCTTTTTGTTTTCAGAGGGTCCATATGGAATATTTGCTGGCAGAGATGCCTCCAGGGGACTAGCAACTTTCTGTCTAGATAAAGATGCACTCAGAGATGAATATGATGACCTATCGGACTTAAATGCTGTACAGATGGAAAGTGTAAGAGAGTGGGAAATGCAATTTAAAGGTAAATTCTCAAATTAGCAGCACATCTTTAGCTTAAGGAAATAATAGAAATGAATGATTTGGGCTTGGGGCAGCTTTTAAAGAGACGTTGACAGTACCATTAATAATGCAATGTGACTTTCTTAGGAAAAGACAAGGGATTTCAGGCCTTTCTTTCATAGAGAGGATTCCACTACATCCCACTAGAGCTTTCCCAGACTTTTAGTTTTATACAAGAAAACTGTTCCCTTCTCAGTTCTTCAGCCCAGAATTTCACTCTTGAATCTCAGTGTAGCTTTGCTGGTGGAACTACTGCTTGGAGCTGGCTGGCTTTGGAATTAGGATCAGGACTAAAGAGTTGGCTTGGCATGAAGGGTTGAACAAATTTGTTTTGAAGTAATTTCTCAAAAGTATGGAAGTATGCCTCTGGAGGGAGGGGGGAGTAATTTTTCACATTAATTGCAATCAAAACGGCCTGGTTTTAATAACAGTGTTTTCAGCCATTGTGTGATAAAGCTTGCCTGATTAGCTGCAGAACTGAAACAAAGTACTCAGAGAAGGAGGTGAGCAGCAAGGGTAGCAAGAATGTTTTAGGAGGCTGAGCTTGCTGATAAATTGCCATCAACGCCCATGACTTAGGTTCAGAATCTTAGTGTACAGGAGAACGAGTGAATTTGCAGCAGTGCAGACTAACTAGCAAATGCAGCTGTATTTGATTGTAATGGAATCATCAATCTTTTTCAGAAAAATATGACTACGTAGGTAGACTCCTAAAACCAGGGGAAGAACCATCAGAATACACAGATGAGGAAGATACCAAGGATCACACTAAACAGGAATGAACTTTGTAAACAACCAAAGTCAGGGGCCTTCGGAACTGCAACCTCTTTATTCCCCATCACAGAATGTCCTGCATCTTTGGGTACAGTTCATCTGCTGCGAAAAACATTCAACAGGTTTTGTACAAGGAAAATAATATACTCACAAATGAAGATTTGAATACTAGACATTATTTGTGCTGCCAAACTTTTTGTTGCAGTTTATTTGTAATGTCTGGTTAGGCTTCAGTAGTGAAGAGGGGCCAGGGATTGAAAGGCAAAACCGCTATTCCTTTTTATCAGTAAGCTGAAGCCTTCAAATAGTAAATATTGCAAGCTCTCTAAAAGACGCGAGTCTTCAAGCTCAGTGGAAGGTTTGAATCTTGTTTCATGTGTGTCTTCTTTCTTCAGCATTAAAGACGTACTCATGTACATCAGTATCAGTAGGTTAGACTACTGAAACTGGTGTTAAAATGTGAATTTTCAATTTCGTTTTGTATGTGGGTGTTAGTAGCCCTGGCAGAATACTTCAGTTCTCTAAGAGAAGTCCATGTAGATTAGGATGGGGGTAAAATTCGTCCTTTCCTCAAAAGGATTGGGTAAAACTGTTTCCTCTGCAACAGCTATTATCTGAAGCCTGCCTCTCCCCCCTTTTCTCATCCTCTAAATCAAATCAAATCAAATCTTAATTGTGCCTTATTTCGCTTACATAGACTTGAATTGTTTTAAGGGACAGCCCCAAAATTCTGGTTTCATAGTCACTACAAGCAGCATTGAGACTGAAGTTAGAATGTTCTGTTGACTGGAAAACCTTGATGTCATTCTGTGTATAGAATGTAAAAGAGGAATACTCAGTGTTACTGCCATATGTTAATACTACATATACTTAAATTAGCATTGTGATGGCCAAATGCATACTCCCATGCTTCTTTTTAAGTAATTACAAACACACAAAAAATTCACCCTTCCTCCTCTTCCAGAAGCTGCCTAACTTTTGGGAGCATAGCCTTCACACCCCCGTAGAGTGAAGGGGCCTGCGCGCGTGTGTATGTGTGTGTGTCTGTCTGAATGCAAGACTTGGGAGGGATTGTTTCTGCAGATATTGTAAATACGAGTACCATTTTAATAAAGCATGTACAATACCACATGTGCTGTCAGACTTTATGTAGAAGCTGTTAAGCAGAGCTGGAATGTGATGGTATACAAAGAAAGGGGAGGACGTCTTGGCTATGAACTGCCCACCGCTATTAATACTGTTCCTTGTCCTCATGGTGGTATTTCTCCTTTCAAGTCCCAGCTTGTGAAGAATCTTGAAGACTTACTCAGGTAAGCTGTATTTAAGAGAATAAACCTATGCCAATGCAGTTATGGTGGAAAAAAAGTGATGTAAATTCTAGGAAATCATGTAATATACGGTAAAAGGAATACGTCTCGTGGCATTAATAGGACAAGAACGCTCGAGATCTATACATGGGATCACTCAACATATTGTAGAAATTTCACCATCTGTTCTGCTAAATCCGCAACGGTGACACTACTAAGTTCATGACTTGCAGCTTTATGGCTTACATCTGTACCTCTGCAGATTTCACCTGTGCTAAGTCTATAGTAACAGATTTTTATATATACACATTCTGTTGAACTGTAAACTGTGAAATTCCAGGGACTACTTCCTTTTTATTACTATTTGACCGAAAGAGATTTATATTGATGTAAATGAAACAAATAAACAAAAATCCTCTGAATCATACGTAATTTGTGTGCCCTAGAAGGCAGGCTCTTCCTTGCATATCCAGTCTTGGAATGGACTAGTTTTATCACCGCAGTAGTGACAGGACTGCGGCCATTTCTCCACAGAAGTTAGGTTACACTTGCAGGTTCCTGCAGTAGAATAAGCACCTGCAAATCCCTGGACCCTGCTGAAAGGCCGGGCGTGCTGGTGCGACTAGCCACACAGAGAGGTGGCTGCCAAGGGACAACCACCACCTTCCTTGCCTAGGACAGGAGCTAGGAGTGCTTAAGCAGCAGTTATTTATCTGGATGCTTCACTAGGAATTTTTTTTTTTTTTTCCCTAACTCAATCTTGCTATAAAAGGTTTTACACTACGCTTCATTTATGGTTTGCCTTTCACTTCTAGCTGTTGCGCCCACTGTTGCACCTCACCATGGCACCAGGGTGTGTACGGCGGTGCAGCCGGATCAGAACGCTCCCCCAGCTGTCAGACAGGACCACCAGATCATTAATTCTTTCCCCAGGCTTCCACATGAAAGTACACGTGCTGTGTTACAGCTGCTACTGTACAAAGCCATGGCTGGAGGTTCTTAATGCTTGCTGTGAGTTACTCTGCTCTTTGCTCGTTACAGCTGTTAGTATTGCTACATCTGGCACAGCTGTTGCATGAGCTGTTTATCGTGTTTTTATCTGCTTTATGCAGAAACTTTCTACTGGAGAAAGAAGGGTAGTTTGGCATATGCTGAGACTTCCTAACCCAAGCACTGCTTTTCCTTCCCCCTTGCTGTAAGAAACTCAGCCAAGCTTAATCACCGTGAAGTCACATGAAGTTCTGTTAGGTTTTTTTGTTGTTTTGTTTGGTTTTTTTTGTTGGTTTTTTTTTTTTTTTTTTTTTTTTTTTATATTTTAAATTGTTTTAAAAGATGCTCAAATTTTTATTTTTATGGTTTAGGAGTGGTTGAACAGCAAGATGGGCAAAGGATGAGTTTTGTTTTGAGGCAACTTAATATAAAACTGGCATGGCAGCAGGATGTTGCACAGACTTAATCCTGCAGTTTGACGTCTAGTGGATCTAAATTAACCTCATTCATCCTATATACAAAGTCACTAGTGATTTAAAGCTGACAAACTAAAAAAAGTGCTTAAAGCCCATGATAGCTTTTGTGTTTATAAAAAGTTGACACATATGAAGAGTAATTTAGAGTAACATCAGATCCATTAAAATTTCAGTCCAATTAATATAATAATTTTATGGAGGCATTCATCCTCGTACCATTTGTGTCAATCACTTGGTCAAAATTCACTATTAACTAAAATGACAGGCACGTTGATCCTGACAATGTGTTACAATTTTGTGAGGGACCTGAAGGGAGTATTTCTCATCATCTTTAGAAACAAAATACATAGCCAGTTTAATATGTGACTTGTTGTGCTAGGCTAGACTTAGTGCTAAACTAGTTTGACTAGTCATTTATTTTGACACTTCTGCCTTATTTGTACACCACTTCCCCAAAATGTTTTCTTATGGCAGGAAATCTATTTTTAAACCTTGATTTAGAAAAAAAAAAAAAAAGCATCATGTTGTTACTTGATCTGAACAACTTGAATTTCCACTAAGGACTACAGCATTATCCTTTCACATGCTTGCAGTTGTTTGTATCTTTATTAAGCTAGATCTATTTTTTCTTGGCTAAGGTTTAAATTTTCTGTCCTTCAGAATCAGACACAGCATGTAAATGCATTTTGGCACTCTGCTTCTGATCTTGTTTCATTTTAAATATCTTAGTTCTAAGTTCTTTCTAACATCTTTTCTTCCTGCAAAATCATTTTGATTCTTCATCGTAAAGGTCAAGGAATACTTATGTTTTGTTTGGGTCTCTTTGATAATTGTTTTCTCTACAATAGAAGTTTGTGGGGTTTTATTTCCTCCAGGAAATACATGCATTGTTGTGTAGAATAGTACAAAATACTGATCAAGACCTAGTGCTTTGAATATAATGGTCTTCCTGGCTCTGCTTGGGGGTTGGTTTTATTTTTTTTTTTTTAGGACAGAGCTATGTAGTTTTTCAGCTCAGTACTGAGGCGCTGCTGAAGTTCATTTCTGAAGCTCCGAGTGTGGTTGTGCCGAGATCCCGTGCTCTCGGCCTCCCTCCTGCAGACTTGGCTCCCCCCCTTTTACTGCTGGCGACTGAAGAGTGGGCTGGGGGAAGAGCCCTGACAGGGCTGTCCTCTGACACCTCCTTCAGGCACGAGCGGAATGATGCACACAGCTCTACATTTGGCTATTGACTTCTTTTCCTACTTTAACACTAGTAATGTAACTCTGGCCTTGAAGGCTTACTTAAAGATGGAAGCCAAATAAATACATGTGACTGTTAGTGGCAAACCCTTCCGCCAGCTTCTAATTTAGGGTTAAAGGCGAGTGGTAACAGGCTGGGTGTTAAGCTTGCTTTTGCTAGAACAGGTGTGCCAAGGTTGGTTCAAATGTGGGTGAGGAAACACAAAAAAAAAAAAAAAAAAGAAGAATCCCAAAGTGTCCTTCACCCTTTCTCTTTGAGGATTCTTGTGCTTTTGTGTTTTTCCTGCACCACAAGGCAGCGATGTTAATGTTTCAGAGAAGCAGTGTCTGTCACTGCAGCCTTCCTGCAAAATTCATGAGCAAATGGAAGTGTCCCCAAGCTGGTTACAGAGTTTACCTGGTTTGTGGTTGGTTGGAGGTATTTTTGTGATGATCATAGTTTAATGACCTGTCACATTTTCTAGGTAACTGAACAAAGCCTACAAGCATACACTCTGTAAGCATCTAAAGTCTTTTGGAGGCGTGGAGTCACTTGACCACAGGCATTCAATTTGTGTTTGTATAAAAACTACCTTTCTCCTTCCCCAGGAGTGAAATCCCTGTCCTTTGCTTTCACCTATTTGAAGACATGAATGAATTGTTACTTCTTTTACTAGAAAGAAACCTCAATAATCACCTTTGAAGGTATTCACCAAGGCACTACCTTAGAACTGGAGAGAATTAAATCTCTTAAAAAATGTTGCCATTTCAGTTGTATTTGCAAGTTTCTTGTTACTTAGCTCATACGCTGCTAACCTTAAGCAAGTTAAAAGCTTGAAGTCCAGTGTGGGGTTGGGTTTTGGGGTTGGTTTGTTTGCTGCATTTTCATAGTGGAGTTTGTGGAGGTGGTTGCAGGGGGAACTGCCTTCCCCCTGACCCCCCAAATAACCCCAACGTTTATCTAGGCTGAAGCCAGCAGAGAAGAAAGCTTTTAAGATTACAGGTACAGCGTGGCCGTGGGATGGCTCAGGAAAAGAGGAGTGGCTAACGCTTAGTCTCTTCCTCTGTCTGGGACGAGGGAGCCGAGCGTGTCGCTCCGTGCCTGCAGCGCTGCCTGAAGCAAAGGCTGCAGGGAAGCCAACTGGTTTCTGTTCATGCTCGTGCTTTATCTCCCCCTGACACCCAAATCGCAGCTAAACTCCAGGAGCATCAGTCATGGAGCCAGGCTGCTGCTGCTCTCGATAGGAAAACGTTATCTGGTCTCCATCGGGAACAAAAGGCATCTTGAGTCTTCCTTTCCTGCCCTTTTAAAAAGCCTTTAGGCTCCAATAGTCCGAGCTTGACAGAAGAAAAGTCTTACTGAGGTTTGGCAGAGTAGGGTTTTGAAATAGTTCAACATTCATTTCTCAGCAGAAGAAATGAAGACAAACCTAAACAAAATTCTTTAATAAGCACAGGGGAGAATTTTTAGACAAGGAAAGGTCTAAGACTTGCCAAATGTTTAGTAACAGACTACTGTTAGAATACAACCCATCTTAAGACAGACCAATTGAAGGTTGGCTTAAATGGACTAAGGTGCATCAGAAAGGATGTTGGACACGTAGGTGCATGCTCAAATACAAACGTGTGGCTCTGCACTAGGCCTGCCAGCTATTCAAAGGTGATTAAGCGCTTTAAGCCCCGGAGAGAAACGGGCTCCTGAGCCAGCAAAGTCTGTGGGGTTTTCCAGAGAGTTTGGTGGGTTTGGGCTCAGCTCAGTGTACAAACGGCAGTAACGCACGTATTGTTTTTTCCAGCTATCTGCAAGGGGAGAGCGGGAAGAGTCAAGCCTGGGCAAAAGGGAAGGGGGAAGATTCCTGAAAGGTAGCCAGAGCTGTGGATGGACGGGGGGGTTTTCTTCTTTTTGTCCACCTAAATCAAGGGACACTGTTTAAGCAACTGGCCCTGCAGAGGCCACCAGCACGGACAGCAGCTCAAGCACTCACTCTCTGCTTTCTGCCGTATTTATCACTCACCTGTCATATTTTTCTTTGACAAAGACCCAGTCATATGAAAAAAAAAAAATCAATATTGAAGAAAGCAGGCTCACAGTCTTAAGAAGCACTTCAGCCTTTGAGGGGCTGGATTTCCCTGCCACTTTAGTGCACCAGAAGCAACAGAAACTCACATGCAAAGCTACAGCCTTACACTCTTTCATTTTGTGTTTCTTCACACTTTGGGGAAAAAAAAAGTTAATATACAACAATATCAGGTTTTTTTGGTTTTGTTTTTATAAAATTTGTCAAGATATCACAAAATTACACACACTAAAAGCTGAATCTGCACATTTTCCAATGAAAAAGTGAAAGGAAATATCTCAAATCTAGTACTTGTATATACAATTTCAATCCAAATTTACATTCGCATCATTTTCTTGGATAGCAAAAGGCATGGATCAAACACAGGATTGAGATGTGTCACTTCAGCATATTTATAGGACATTACTTAAAATATTGGTGTGTGCTGTGTTAATTTAGAACAGGCCACTTACAAAAGGCTCAATTTTGTAGTGAAATCGTAGTAACTGTGGGGAAGGCCACTGCCTATATAGACCCCTTGACAATGCAAACATTCATAATTTATTTTTTTGAGATTCACAAGACAGTGACTGAAAAATTAGTGGACTTGTTATAACCTCTGAGACCTGATACGAGCTTAAAACCCTATACGTGTCTGTGCAGTCAATTAGGACACCTTCATGGATTAAGGCATTTGTGCTAGACATAACTTTTTAACTTTAAAAGGTAACTGAAGTAATTTCTGCAGTTAACTAACAAAAATTTTTCTCACCTACCCTTGGAAGAGAGAAGTTACCACTCAGTTCTTTTTGAGTCTAAAAACAAAGTAATGACATTAATAAGAAATTACAGGATATAAACATCCCCATCCTTCAGCTACAGAAATGGATTTGTATTTGAATAACTTACATTCAGTGAAATTATATTTAGACCTGTCTGAAATTACTTAGGCTGAGCCAGCACAATTTAAGCAGAACTTCGTTCAGATACTGCAACATAAAGCAAAAAATAAAATTTACAAGGAATACTTTGTTTCCCTCCAAACTAATTTTTATTACTTGAAATAGGGAGAAAAGAAAAATTTAAAATTATGCCTCTGCTGTTAGGAGTACTTCATAATTGTAAGAGAATCCAAATGAAAACACCTCTCAAGCCAAGAATAATTTGAATAGTTTCCTATATTAACAACCTGCACAAACTGTAGATACTGTACATCGATTTATGACACTATGAAATCAACAGATCCATTTTCCCCTGTATTTTTCTGTTGCTTGAGTTATTAAGAACCAGTACTGAAGGAAATTATCAGCAAAGCTATCCCAGTTATGTCCACTCAAACTCAGTAAAATACTAACTATGGAGACCCTGAAAAAAATAGAAACTATGTCTTTAAATAAAATCCAGAAATGCAGTTTCATATACAGCTGCACATTCTCGAGTGTGCTTTTGCACAAAACCATACTTTTTAATAGTTAGATTCAAGAGCAAACCAATCACATAGATCCTTCCTTTATATTAAAAATTCTACATATAATGATCTTTTTTGCTTTGGTAAAATACACATAATGGGAAAATCTGGGTAAAGAAAGCACAGTAAATAACATGGGTATGTCATACCTTTTTTAAGAAATACGAGCTGAAATGTAAGGCATCCCCAAAGTATTTTTTGCATATGCAAGGAATGCGGTTCTCTGTAAACAAAAGCTTGAGGAAAGCAATCGTGAAGCCAAAGAATCGTCCCTAGGATCCTTCCGATGATCCCAAAACCAAGAGCAACTCTCCTAGGGTAAGTGTTTTGGAACTAAATCCTGTGAAAAAAAAAAGATAATCCAATCCGTTGTCTTCTTATGTGTTTTTAATCATGTATTAGACCGGCTGGCCTTGAAGATCTCCAAATTAAGAGACTGATGTAAAGTTGATTCTCAAGGGCATGAGCTCACCTTAAGTCTATTTTTCTGGTACATCACTTTCTATAAATTTTGTGGCAGCATTGTTTCGGCCTACGGATGCTCGCACAGTATTCCCAGTGGTAACATTTCCCTGTGCCAGGGACTGACAGGCAGCTGTGGGCTTAGCAGCAACAAGTGTTTTAGAAGGGTTAGACTGATGTCTGCGATGACCTGAATCCTCACCTGTTGCAGCAACCCGTCTCTTCCTGACAGATTCTTCACTAATAGGAGGCTGAAAATAAACGTTGGCAACCTGTTAAATGTTTTCCTGTAAGGTCTTTTCACATACGTCAAAGATCAGAAGAGACAGAGCATTCCATAATTAGGCCCCTAGTTAGATCTAATAACCTCAGTTATTCACAACTCACTGACAATACTCTAAAGCTTTCCTGGACATTTCACTAGAAGCGTGCGTGCCTGACACATTAAGGGCTTCCAACAGTCTTACAGCATTATTTAATTGTCACTGCCCAAACGTTTGCCACAACTCCTAGAAAATGGAGGGCTGCAGAGGACAATGGTACTGTAGCACCCCATAACCCCGTTACAAAAAGCACAGCAGCACTCTGCTCTGGAATCCCACAGTCTGTGAGTCTCCAGCGCTCCACGGGAAGGACACACTGAATTTGGCACATGAAGCCTCAGCAAGGACGATGCCTGTCACAGTTCGTTAAGAAATGCCAGTTGGGGCCTTAACTCATTTGCCAAACTCTTAAACCGTACAGAAGTCATCAGTCCCACCAGGTGACAAATAAGCTGGTTTTGGTAATTTATTTCATTTCACAATGAAAATGGATCAATGCTTTTTACATTTTAGCCACCACACCTCAGCACCATGCTTTGGTTCAAAAAAGAATGCCTAGAATGAAACTGTGGTTTTCATTCTAATTTAATTTTTTTTAACTGTGCTCTTTCTAGTCATTGACAGGACATGTAAAGCTGCCTTTTTGTGAAATGAAGTACTGTTCTTAGTTTACCTTACAGTAAAAATATTCATACACCTAAAATTTATTTAAAATTGAAACTTACATCCACTCTGAAGTCCTCCAGTCTCTTAAATTTACTAAGGTATTCTTGCAGTTTGAGGTCAACGGCTGGAGTCTTGTGCTGAGAGTATTTTAGATAAGCCCAAAATTTTTCCAGTCCATATAGCTGACCTAATAATGGAAAAAGGTAATTTTAGCAATTTATGAATGTCAGATTTCATTAAAAACTTAATTATTCACTGTTAACTCTATGTTTAAGGGAACTGTAAGGTAAAAGAAACAGGAAGAAAAGCTGCTCTTGGGTTAGTTAACAAGTCAGTGCCAAGGAATTGGGCTTATCTCCCAACTGAAGTTACCCCAGTGTGAGCAGTGACTGATAATTACCAGCTTCATAGTCTCTCTTTGTTTCTTCTTGGAAATCCTTGAATATTTCTTGCCTGAATTTCTTTTCTAGGCCATAGCTGTAAAATCTAAACAAGCATTCCAATCCATACCTGCAACAGAACAAAGAGGTACAAAACACTTATATATATGTGCCTCGTTCCTCAGAAGGATGCACGCTTTCAGTCTTTCCTTGTATTTAAGTAAATCACAGTCTCATTTTACCCTTTTCATTAAAAACACTTCCTTTTCACATCAATTTTTATCAAACTATTGTTCTGAAACATCTTCATAAATAATCAAAACTGACCTTGGAGAATCTCACACACACACAGAACCACACAAAACAAAGACAAACGCTTTCACATTTTCAGTATGTTTGTATACACAAACACCTCCACCATCAAACCACCCAGAGTGGGTTGGACCCAGAGTCAGCCTAACCCAGCACCACCAGTGCCAAACCCGACACGCAGGGCAGGGCTGGGTGCTCCCTCAGCTGCCGCACAGCCCCGCACCAGGCTTTCTGGCTCAGTATTTGGTAACGCTCTGGCGCTGGCTGCCACACCATCACCAGAGCTGCCTTGGGCCTCCAGATAGCTGGGACCTCCTCCTGCCACCACCTTAATCCCCTAAGAAGTCTCTCCCAGCGAATGTATCCTTTGATAATCACAGAACATCCAGAAAGCTCAGAGCAGAGACACAAGGAATTCCTAAAGCCACCTTTGCACCCTAGGGACTACCACTGCCCTCTCAGACAACATATCTGAACTTCAGGACTTCCACAGCCACTACTTCCTCACTTGGCATTTAAAACATTGGGCTACTTTGTCTCTTCGGCTAAGAGAAACAGAGGCAGGGAGAACTGGCTGAAAGGAAGGGAATATCATCAAAGAGCTAAAGGGGCAGTGGTAATTTCCTTTGTGGTCATTTTTCTGGTATTTCTGTAAGGCAAGAAGCAGTCTGAACAAGTTGAATGAGGTTAAGAATGTCTTCACCTACGGAAGGAATAATCTTATGAGTGTTAGTAAGGGCAGAGCTGACTTGTCATCGTCAACAAGCTACAGGATTTTGTAGTATTCACAACCAGTTACAAATCAGGAAATGCTGCATTTAGCTATTTATCTGCAAAGCACAAATATACACACACAGATTTTTTTCATTAATACAAGTTACACAGGCTGCTATTTTACAGATTTACAAAGAGTCAAAGCCAATACTGAAAATGTTCACTTTGGATCTTTGGATATACATAAAGTTCACCATCATTAAAATGACCTGTAAGACCTCAACAGTTCTTAACTTCCAGGAAAAAGCAAATACCTGTAGTGTTCTTTTGCATCATCTAGAGCAAGTTGTTTGAACTCTTCATACATTTTCTTGTTAAAGTGATCTCTCAGAAAGAAGGACCAGAAACGAAAAAGTGTGTTCATTTCTTGGGACTGGCCAATTCCCAACCGTTTCCTCTCTGGAAGAAAAAAGAAAGGAAGGGTGGGAAAGCAGAATATTTTCAACTACTTTTCCATTAGGAACAGACACACAGAGGAACTTCCGATGACAAGTTTAAATTTAAGGGTAAATTTTTTGACAGGGAATGTAAAGTTAAATGGAAAGCAGAGTTCATAAAATAGAAGCATCAAATAAATTTTGCTTTCCTTTCCCAGGAAAATTAAGGATGAGGAACAATGTGGAGAAAACTGGTATCAGATGACACCTGGTAACTTCTACCTAAAATTTTAGGAAGTGCATTTAGCAGCTCACCCATTAGACACCTTCGACGATATTTGTGGTACACCTGTTGAGTAAAGCCATTTTCCTTTAACAGTTCATGAGAAGGGTGCTGAAATTTTGGAAGCGAATTTGGGGTACACCCGTAACCTCCTGCTAGTGGAGCTCCTTCTGAAGGTGAAGCATTGGAACTGCTGAAGAAAAAAAATAGAAAAACACAATGTATTTCTGTCCTATAATCAGCAACTTCCTACAGAATCAGTTTTCAACCATTCTGAACCACACAAGAGCTGTCAGAATAGTACAGTCACCTGATGCCCACTACAATGCATACCTGGGGTCCCAGTCATCTGTTGTCTGGTGAACCTCAAGAAAATCAGATTCTGTGCTAATATGTCAAAAAGCAGACAGTTCTGGATGATGATAATCAAGCATTACTATAAAGCTTGATTTAAAATGACCACTTAAAGGCAAAAATCACCAAAGTGAACATCACTACAAGTAATATTACTGCTACTATATCATCAAACATCATTGTGAACACAGTCAGACTAGCTAGCTTAATTCCAGATAGCCTTGCAGTCTATGGTTTTGTCTTTTCTTGCTTCCACTGCATTTATAAACTGTCTTTTATTGCAGCCTATTTCTCCATTAGCAGTAAGAACTAATGATATGGCAAAATAATTTTTTAAGACCGAAAAAAAAAAAAAAAATTACCTCACAGAAGAAGTTCTTGGCCTGTGGTCTCTGGAATCCATTACCCAACCAACGTGGCATTCTAAGGGAGGATTTGTACTGTGTCGTGTTTTTCTTTTTCTTGCAGTCTAAGAAAGTAAATGAAATATTTATTTCCCTAATTTGATTTCACTCATTCTCTCCCTCTTGAAACAAAGTTCTAAAAATTTTATATTCATTCTAACATATTATAAAGTCACAACACTACAGTTTGATAACCTAAAGATTAGTCTTATGTAACAAATTAAAAATCTTCAGACATTCCACTTTTTCAGCAAGGACTTTTAAGAAATGTTACAGAGAAAACTCAGAAACCATTTTGTAGAAATAAAAAAGAATGAACATAAATATTTTGAAGCTAAACAGTAAAAAAGTACAAGTGTTTCATTTTTTGCCCTTTCATGCTTGTTAAATTATATGCACAGACACGAGTTTTATAGGCATTTTCTGGTTTTTAAAGAAATATTATGTCTTTCCATTTACCTTTACATCAATGGATAGTGCTTCTTTAACAACAGGGTAGAACCTGGGTGTTTTGTTGGGATCCTGTAGCCTCGGGGTGCGAGGTGTTCGTGGGGTGAAGCCAGGGTGAACACAGTGGGAATCTGGAACTGCTGTGGGCAGTGATCGAGCTATTGCTGCCGTTGGAGGTACTTCAGTACTTATCAAGTCACAAGCCAGCTCCTCTGCTAAATCTGTAGGCAGAAAGGAGAAAATATGCATTTTCAAAACACACTTAGGATTTCAAAGCCCAAGCAACCCTAGCATCTAGTATCTTAAAGGCCTGTTTCAAGAGAACTACATCATCCCCAAAGGGTAATCAAATTACCAAAAGCACTCAGTGTAGAGGCAGTACAAATTGCTCAAAACTATGAAATAACGTTCAAGCATGTCTTTGCTAGAAAATGTAAACCCGTTTCTTTCTTACCTGCTTGTTCTTGAGTAGCTACACTAACAAAGTAACGAAAAATAAACACGGTGACAGCGCAACCACATTCGTGCCTCTTGGTGAGGTTGTTTTTTCTCCACCTACTTTAAAGATGTTATTAGCATGGATCCTAGTAAATGTTAATACTACTACTATATCAGAATTACCTCAAAAGAGAAGATGTGGACTTTGTGACTGCTCAGTAAGGTTACGATACAAGTAGAAAATTATTCTAATCTCACTTCACTTTATCCCTGTTTCCTAAGAATACTGGTTTCTAGAAAAAGTTTTACAACATCACTAGTTATAACTTTATATACTGTAAATGCCAAATTACACAAAAAGCATCTGATGTTGGTATATGATGGCAAAAAATATAGAACACTGCCTATTGATCCTCACATATATCCTGAAAAGTACCAGTACCAGCTTTTCTAGTTCAATAGAAACCACAGTACTGATGAACAGCTGACAATTTTAAAAATTATCAAAGAAAAAGCCCCTCAGACTGCTGACTGAGCCAAAATTAAAATAATACACAGGCAGAAAGAGTTAAAGCACCTACATAATTTTTCTTGTATTACAGAGATTCTAAAACCAAATACATATTTTACTTACCTTTCTGTAACCCTGGAGGAACTTCTTGGGTTGGATGAGCAATTGGTTCTGGTGCAATATTATAAAATTCTTCCTTACTAATGAGATTTAGCTTCTTAAAGTTCTCAATCTCTTGCTGAATTAGAGAAAGCAAATTGTAAACATAAAGCACAATTATGGATATCATCCTCAGAAACAGGTGAATTTCACAAAAGAGAAAATCAACAAGCCACAATTGACGCATAACTAACCATACATAGCCAACACAGATTTCTTTTAAGGAAGATGGAAGGAGTCTCTAGCACACATAGTAAGAAAGTTGCCGAGAACAAGGTATATAACCTAACGCAGCTCACAATGCACTAGCTGAAAGGAACAGTTACACCAACAAATGGGCAAATGGAGGCAGGTAAGGCTATCTACATGTGAATTTTCACAGACAAGTAAGAAATAGAAATGACTGAGATCCTGCCCCGTGCCAAGCCCAAATTCATCCTTCTGCAGTAAGCATGCCAAGGAAGGTCCTAGCAATTTAGGGGAGCAGAAGAGACCCCGCTCCCTTCCTCAGGCTACATGTAAAGAAAAGCCAGTATTTGTAAATAAATAAAGTGTTCACCTTTTTTCCTTTTTTTTTTTTTTTTTTTTTTTATAATGGTAGCTTAAACTGCAAAATGTCAAGATTTCCCAAGATATGTGGCAGCATCTCAAATCACTCATGTCCTGCCTCAGCTGAAGGTGGGGTGTGACGTGTGCATGTGCGTGAAGAATCTTGTTTAAATCATTGTCAAGAACATAACAACAACAAAAATGAAAGTATCTTCTCTTGCTGTGTGGTATGTCTCACTGTTCTCTTACAGTTTGGTAGCTTTCTTGGTCCATTCGTTTTGTAATCAAAACTCCATATTCTGAATTCTACCTTTATTTCTTGTTTTTATTCTCAACATGAATTTCTATCTTTGTCAGCTCTTTTCCGTACCCACATGTTCCAATTGTCCTTTAAGGCACTCCTCCTGCCCCACAACCCACCTTTGCCCTTATGCAGAGACAGAGCTCCTTTCCCTGCCCACTGAGTGTTTTGATAACTTTGTATTTCTATACACATATCTTCTGCTAGCGATACAGTGGGATTGCCTACAGACGCACCGCTCCTGGGCTCCCTCGCACAAAAGAAGGGGTTTCTTAACCAAAACCAGTGACAGGACTGCAGTGTGCCATGTTGACCTCTGCCTATGCAGTGCTGGAGTTCAACTCATCTGTGATTTTACAGCTGCTTAGTATATTTAAAAAATAAAAATTAAAAAAAAAAAAAAAAAAAGTGACAATCTCCTTGCCTGTTTCAAGCTCTGAAAGCCTCAAAACCAGGAGACTACGTACAGGCTAGGAAAAAAAAAAGCATTTCTATAATAAAATAAGGTGTGCAATCCCAAGTTTCATTTGTTCACAGAACTACTGTTCTAACAAGATACAAGGCAAACAGAACCTTAATATAAAACTACTTTAAAATTACTGTATTACCTTCCTCTCTTATTATCTCATCTCAGAAACATGCCCCCTTCTGCTCTGGTAGGAGCTTGCAAATGTTATGAAATAAACTATTCATAGAACAAGAAAACGCTAGAAAAGTTGAAGCATCTCCAAAATGTTAAGAACAGTTCTAAAAAATATTCATTTCATGGTTTTGGTCAAATCTGTGACAAGAAAAACTTGCTGGTTTTGCTTTCAACTGTTTACAATATTATCAAAATCAGGAGAATTCAATAGACCTCTAAATTCAACTACTGTCACTTTTCTTTAAAAAAAGTGTAGCATTTTACAAAGACATAGCAAATGCAGACATAAGTTTTGGAACTGTTTGGACAGGCATGGTTTTCAGGTCAAAAATTAAAAGACCTACCTTCATCATAGTGTCATTTTCACTCTGCTCCATCCACAAATCCTGTTCATAATAGTATAAGCCATCATTGATAACTTTAGCAAGCTCTGATGTAATTTTTGCACGGCATACATGGTTGCCAGTACGATCTCCACCAGTATGTTTTCTCATATATGGTGGTGTCTGTGTTACAATTAAAATCTTGTTTATGTCCTGATCATTAATTTCATAATCGGAATCGCTGTCTGACCAATCAGTAAATTTACTCTTCCGACCTTGAATTTGTTCCATCTCTTCATCAAACAAAAAGTCAAGTTCTTCTTGTTCTTGTTCCTCTGGAGGTGGTGGTGGCTGTTGTTGAACTGATGTTTGATCAGGCATAGAAACACTTTCCTAAATTAGAAAAGGTGATGCATTGTATATTTGAATTGGACAGCGATTATCCAAATGGGAGACAAACAGAGCATGATAGAACACCTTCAGTCAACAAATGTACAGGAATTAGAAACAGTACAGACACTTTCAGATGTTTATTAAGTAAATTACTGTTCTAAATAATTCTGCCATTATCTTTTAGAACAATTTTCAATGCACATTACAATACATTTTTCAATGATCAACAGGTACAAGTGTCCCTCAGCAGGAAAAAACAAAACAAAACAAAAAACAATGAAAACTTATTTCCTTTTAATTTTCGTGAGCTTTGGATCAGGATTTTAAATGCACTAGTTATTTTAGGTCTGGTAGATTGAGAAGTACGCAGACTAACTGTATTGCATTATCAAGCATCACATACGTTAAGATGTGAAAAATCTTGTTTTACAGTATCATCTGAAAGTTGGCAGGTTTTGCATTTGTTTATTTAAACATAACTTAAAGGTTTTTGATTTTACCTTTAGTTTGACTGTGGATGCACGATGCCTCTTCTTCACTTCTATCCAGGGTTCAGAGTCCAAATCAGGCAAACTTGTAGACAATCCTTTAGATATTGTCTGAAAATTACTCGTTTCAGTGTTTTCCTTTGGACTCAGTGGGCTTCCCAGTCTTGGAGAGCTTGGTGCAGACTCTAGCAGTGTAAACCAGTAGTTCAGTTCCTGCTGTGGGTTGTTTTCATTTGTTTGATTTGATTTTGTTTGTTTGTTTGTGAGTTTTTTTGGTGTATTGGTTTGGTTTGGTTTTGTTTGTTTGGTTTTTTTTTTTCTAATTGTTTCACTAGTCTTTTAACCACAGCTATCATTTTTCTACCTCTTTGGTTAAATATAACACTGATCAGCAGAATTTATTTTCATTTTTAGGAGATAGCTTTTCACAGTTAACATTTTAGCATTTTAGGAAAAGATCAATTCTAGCGACTTATCTATGTGGAAAGTTCCTAACAGTCTGAAATAAATTACGTGTTATTCAGAAAACAAAAGCAGATTCACTAGGGACATGTTTTCTCCACACTGCCCTCTAGCTCTATGGATGGATGCCTAACTCAGTCTTCATTATTCCTATTTAACTCAGCCAACATTTCAGTATAAGATTTCCTTGCCAAGGGTAGTCAGCAAACAAAGCCTTCTCCCTACTAATAAGGTGAATGAGATCCCATCCAAAACCAGGATGTAAATAAAAAATTAAGTTTCAGCTGCTACCAAAATGAAGCATATTTTATGACTAATTTAAGATTATTATTACTACTTCTACTAAAGGACTGTAGCCCATCATACTATATTCTGGAGAATGGTCACAGCTGTAACACATAAGAGACATTTTTATCTACTTCACATCAGCCATGTGACTTGGCGACTGCAAGGATGACAGGCACATCAGCTGAATAAACTGTTACCAAATGTACAACTTCTATTATGAAATCAGTATCAAGAGGCAAACTTCTTAAGTTAGACAGACAGTCCTAAACTTATGTTTCTATAAAAAAAATAAAGCCTTTACCAGTATGTGAGTCAAAAATTTGGCCTGGTATGAATTCTGGACAATTGATGAGCTGAGAAAAGTCAGTTGGTGGCAGATTGCATGGAGGAGGACCTGGAATTGGCCACTTCTCTGGATCAACCCTTTTTCTTATCCTCTGATCCACAGTTTCGACTTCTGTACTGTCCTTTAGAGCCTGCACAACAAGCATGTTATAGCTTCAAAAACTTTACATATCCAGCACCATCGAAAAAAAAAAAAACAAACCCAAACTTTGCCATTTATAGCCTCTTTATAAAATCCTTGTCATTGCAAGCAGAAGTCTTTCTTAAACTCGTAGCACTGACTTTAAATGACATACAAAATTAACCAAGCAACTTTCTACATAAGTACTTCTGAATTATTTTACCTCCAAAATGAGTGCAGCATTTGTAGTCAGAGCTTGCATTCGACGGAAGCTTGCAATCAGTGAAATGGGCAGAAATCCATGTTGGTCCATTTTTCTCCTCAGAAAGAAGTCCCTCTCCAAATTTTCTGTGCTGAAATAATATTCACTGCAGAAAGAAACATACAAATATGAGCCTATTATAGGTTAAAGAAAAACCGAAAATAGCAACTTAGATATTCCTGTTAAAGTCTTCCATTAAAAACAGAACATAATTTGTCATAAAAAAAAAAAAAAAAATGTTCTTTCAACAGGTGTATCATTATAAGGAAGACTTACAGAACAGCATGCATGCTCGACATGTTAAGAAAGACACATGATCCAGTACAGTACATAGGGGTATACATCAAAGCCTTGTTACATTTGCATATATGAACTGCATAAGGAAATACTATGCTCAATTTTTCTTTCACCCATCCCCTCCCTTGTTACTTACATGAACAGAAGGAAACAACATTCTCTTAGCCTCCATATAGATGAAGGACAACTACTGCTTACAGTCAGGGCATAAGTTATTTCCCACACAGCAGTATCAGTGCACCTTCATCCTGAACTGTATCTTTTCTTTTCCCAGTTGCCAGTACATTAGAAGATTTAAGTATCCTATCTGAGTGTTGAGGCACAAATATGTACTCTGAATCATTACTTCAAGCATGCTTGTGGGAAGATGAGAAAACAAAAATAGTAATGTTGTATTTGTCATGAAACTGTACCAAAAGGCACAACAGTTCATGGAGAAAGGTAAGGTCTAAAAGAAGAGATGATGTTGAATGGGTAAAGAAAAGAGGGATAAGGACCATTTCAGGAATCTGACGATACCACAAAACAAGAGACAAGGGACAAAGAAATAGCAGAAGGACAAATCTTCTTAAACAATGAAACTGCTCTATGAAATGATATGGGTGTCAAGATGTTTATACTTAGTGAAGAGAAAAAGTAAGGAATTCAAATCATGATCTGTCACACAAAGCAAGGGAATGAGAACACATCCTATGAAAAAGAATGGAAAAAAACAATTTTATCACAGCAACTAAAATCTAGGCCTTTCACAGAGTTTACATATCATACCATGATTTTGCACATATCATCCAAGGAACACTACTCCTCATCAGGTTCAGGAAAATGTAGGGAGTGAAATATTTAATGGAGAACAATTAAAATTCTATGACACAAAAATAGAAGTAGTGCAAAAATAAAACAGAGAGCATTAAAACGCTGAGAAGAAAAAAAACAACACATGCAAGTGTAAACAAAGTTAATTCTAATTTCAACAAAGTATAAAATGCTAAGTGTCTCCACTGGAGTTGGTATCAAGGCCAAAGTTACCAAGAGGAGAGGACTCTGATGCCATCCTTGACCCAAGGAGAAGCTTGATACCATTTCTTTCTCTAATTTTCAGTAGCTAAAGAAATTCAAAGCAAAAGCTCTCTATATGAAACACTCAGCTCCAAGACAGAATAAATGTAAAGTCTCAAAGTTGGACAATAAGACATACAACAAATGAAAACACTGCCATTAAATCAGAGCAAACAGAGAAGAGAATAAGGCTTTCAGAGAATTAAGCTCTTACTCAGAGCTAAGTGAACTGATCGGTGAAGCAACTGTGCACAAAGAGAAGGTTTCTTTCAAGAATATCCTGTTTACTGTTCTGAACTGCTACATTTCCCCCTCCCAGTCTAGAAGATAAGCAAGCACAAAAGCCATATATCAACATTTTACTAATGTTACCTTTACAGTCATACAGTAAAGGTAAAATCTTGTAACGATTCACTTAGTTAAAAATTCCACAAGCAGAAATGGACAATGACTGAACTTGACTCAAACTGCCTCACTTGATGTCCATCACTCTAGAAAAAGGAATGTGAAAGACCATTAATGATAAATGAAGACAACGCACAAGTTTGCTCCAAGTAGAGGGACAACCCTAAACACACACACACACCCTCCAGTTTTTCTTTTTCATTTTTCTCAGAGTCCCTTCTCTTATTCTTGAACTGATGCAGACTTGGATGCATGTCTGAACTTATATTTATTTCTTTATTTTTTAAAGAAAGAGGACTTTAAGTAGACTTCTACTGTATGTTGCAGACTGAGGAGTTGCTAAGCACTGAAACTTTTCAGGCTGACAATTTCAGCCTGTAATTAAAAACATTAAAGATATTTTTGTATGTAATACAAATATTACTGTCTCTTGTACATCAAGCTGGTTATTGGGACAAACATAAACTGTTTGACAGCAGTGTATTTCTTACTGTAATTATGTATCAACTCAGTTGGACACAGTCTCTTAAGATTTTTCCCTATTAAGCAGGTAAACTGTTTTAAAATTTATCAATTCACTAGGATTCAAATCAGTCTCACTTCTCCAATATGTCCTGATTTATCTTGGACTCCATAAGGAACTCTGAGACCTAACAGTTCAGTGTAGCTTTATTCTGTATATACTTCCTTCTTTGGCATAGTCACTTTCATAATTTAGTTATAAAATATTAAAAGCAGACAAAACCATCCCATTTAGAAACTAGTAACAGGTAATTGATTAATAAAGTCTGTTTCCCATAGTTTTTAATGTGATAAGAGAAGTGAATAGATAACAAAGCCACTTTTTTTTTTTTTGTTAAGGAGCATAAAAACAATGAAGTTCTGGTCTAAACCTGCTCAAGATTCTCCCCCTCTCTCATGGAAAGCAAACTCCATAATCAAACTGCCTTTGGAGTTTATATCAGAGAAGTAACCAATGGCTCTGGTTAGCCAGCCATGCCAAGTCTTCTATTGACACCTGCCAACCTCTTGTTGCTAAAATAAAATACAAATATAATCAGAAGTCAGATGTGACCAATGCTGTAACTGACATTTTTCTCAGCAGAGGGGGACATCATCATGTCCTACCTTAGAAGGTCTGGATTCTACACTGCATGCCCAGAAATCTGGCCAACAGTGGAGTGTCTGTGCTCCTCCCTCACTTGTCTGAGGACAGTGCAGGCCGATTATCCTGACATGGGGGTAACATGTCCACTGTCAGGTCTCATAGGGGCCTGGCAGCAAGAGTAACAAAAAAGACTGCAATAGAAGTTTTGAAGTTGATAGCCACATGCCAGATACTTTCTGCCCTTAAAGAGGCTTTTTTCTTCCTTTTTGCGTCAACTGTAACAAAAGAAGCAAGAATAAAATAAGCAAGTTGCTTTATGGAATACAAGGGCAATCAAAAACCACCACAAAGGCATCGCAGAGAAATGCCGTTGCAAGCACAGAAGATGAAATATCTGCCAGTGGTGGAAACTGTCTCTTTAAAATGAACTAGTGGTTTCCAGGCCCTTTTTGACTTGTCTCCTGGTGATAATCAGTCTTCCAGATGGTTTCTCATTGCCTAATGGTGTACACGAGAAAGTAAACATTTCAGATTATTGAAAAATCAAGTATCATTGCAAAACTACTCTTTTTCAGTTAAATGTTTCAGGTGAAACACTCTGAAAACACAAAACTAACAAGACTTCTCAAAAGTGATATTGAGAGCAAATAAGGGAAATGTCTATCTACATCACCCAGGAAGAGCTTTATAGGCAAACAGACCAACAGTACTCAAAAGCACAAGCTCAGAGACATCCATATCTCAATTACATGACAACATAAAAAGAGGGCTATGTACCATAAATAAAGCAGGTATACAAGTTAGAGCCAGACTACAGCACAAGATGCAGAACAGCTTCCTTAAAATTCCTCCCCATCACTCAAGTTTTTCCACCCCGCGAGTGAATAAATTCAAACTGACACTGGTAACGGTCAAATCAAAGAGTTAAATTGAAATGCCTTCATCTCCATCTTTATATGGATAGTAAGGATTAAACACTGTTTGAAATTAATTATTTTATCTGAACTAGATCTCTGAAAACGGTTGTACGTTAAACAATCTACTTACATTTGATGTTTTATATATTCTTTAAGAAGTGCTTCATCCACAGAATACATCTGCACACCTGTTCCATCACCATAGTAATACATCACACTAGCATTAAGCTCAGGTTGAAATAGTTGGTCAGTTCCTTCACCATACAGTTCTTGATAACCAACTGAATATTCAAAGTTCACTTCAAAATAAAGGAGAACATAAAAGAAAGGTGACAAAAAATATTAAGTCCAGCAGATAAATATTTTAAGGCATGAAACACACTGATATTTTTGTGTTGGTTTTCAGCATCTGACTTTAAAAAGGCTCAAGCTACTTAATTATATTAAGTTACAGGATATGGTTTTTGAGACAACTCTTACTTCAGGTACAAACAGTAATATCATAACCACAGTTTTAAAAGTTTTGCTAAGCATCTACTACTTTGCATACTTCTAGGGTTTCCTCTGCCTCGTCCTCTTCCTCTGCCTCTACCTCTTCCTCGCCCTCTGGAGAATCCTCGAACACCGCCACCCTCACTTCTCACGCTGCACACTTCATCAGGATCATCCCTCTTTTCTTTATCACGACGCCAATCTGTAAGAGAAAAAAGCATAATACTTGCAATCATAATTAAATATCACAGTGCCAAAAAGTCCCTCATAACAGCGTTCTTGGCTTCCACCCAGGCAATCCACTAGTTCAGTCCCGCTGGCTGAAGCAGGTCAGAGCTGAAGCTGCAAGGGTGAAATGGTGAGGTTTGCCCAGGCAGGCCTAAGGGTGAGTCAGGCAGAAGCTGTCAGCAATAAGTAAGAGTAAATGGGCTTGACTGGCAGTCCATCTCAAATGCTTCTGAAACACTTAGACACTCTGGTGCCAGCTCAGGGATCACAATACCTACAACTGCCTTGGGATGGGAAGGGATGACCATGCAATTCTCCTTCCGGGCATGATAATACAGTCTCTTCCTGTCAGCAACTCCCAGTACCTAGACAGAGTGCTAGGAAGAGCTACTAGCTCTTGATGCTCCTGCTTCGGGTGGGATTTCCATAGCAATGGCTCTCTGGAGCCTCCCCTTTGCTCCCAGAAGCAGCAGTCTACCACTCCCCGACTCTGCCCATTTAACAACAACCTTTTATTCTCTGTTGGTCATGCCCTAAACTGAGCTTAAGTTAAGGACCTGTTTTTGACAACACATGCAAATCTAAGATAACTAAGGTTTCCATATAAATACATGGGCTGCACATAGCAAAAGAGAGCAAGAGAGAAGCAGAAGAAGAAAGGAAAGCAAGCAGGTCCAAACCAGACCCCAGGGACCTTGGCTCCACTCACCACAAAATTTAAGGACAGGTGTAATTCTCACTTTACTCATGAGAGAAAAGGAAGCCCTCTCTCACACCATTTCTTTCTCTCTTCCTAATACTCTCAGAGACTTTCATCTTTCTTGCTTAAAATTTAAGTCCTAATTGAATAGTCTTCCAGATTCCAGGGGACCTCTCTGTCAAAGGAATGCCTGGAGATACAGCCCCTACTTGATCAAATTGAGAGCTGATAAATTTAAAAAAATTTAACTAAATTTAACAGCCTTCAGGTAGAGTTCATGCTACAAGTTTCTGGTCATTTGACCATCCTGAGGAATAATTGCTGAGGAAAATGATACACTAGTAAAAATCCTCCCTCTGCCCCTGTCCATCTCTCAGACATACAGATCAAACCCTTATATCCATGTTCCTAAAATGACTTCATAAACAAATTCCATCTCAGTAGCATCCAGCACTTAATATAATGAGCAAACATTTACATTGTTAATGTATATTGTGATTTTAAAACTTAAATGCAAATACATAAACCAAAGAGCTACACTCAGCCTAAGATTGCTGCCATCTGACAAGCTGTATTCAGAACACCTGAGGACCAAAAGCAGTACCAGCCATGATGCATTTCTTCCTCTGTTGTGCTAGTACAACTTTTTGCATGGCCATGCTGAGAAATAGGTCAGGGAACTGAGGGAATTGGTCCAACTTAAAGGAAAAAACAACATCAGTAGAATTGCCAAAACAGAGTTCAAAGTGTAGGTCCACAAGCAACTGCTCTGGTTGCAACAAGCCAGAGGAATAGCAGTAGAACAGGACAGAGCAGATGCCTTATGAGACTATTTCTGAACTTTCTGCACTGTAAAGCTGTGACCCAGCACTCACAGCCGTGAAGAGAAAAATATATGCTGCTCTGATTCAGAGCACCAGCATACACTGTAAAGATAGACCATTTCCAAACTCAGTTCATTACAGCTCTGATCAATTTGTGAAGAGGTTCAGAAAAAAAAAAAAAAAAAGCTTTTAAACAAAACTTTCCAATTTAAAATGTGTTAAACTGCAGCACAATTTATTTATTTTTGATTGTTACTGGCAAATATTGGCACTGAGGTTTACTTAATATAGACAAAGTCAAGCCTCAATAAAAACTGCCAATCTAATGCCTATTCACATGGTATTATACTTTATTTGCCACAGATATAAAGTCCCAGAGATCGAGAACTACTTACTTCTTGTCTCATTCCGTCTGTTGTTATGAGGTATTAACTTGTTTGTTTCCAGCAGAAATCTTGAGCTAGTCCGAGAGCCTGGTCTTTCTTGACTGTCTGACCTTACATCATCCAAGTGAAGTGGCACCCATTTCTGCTTGTTACCTTGAAAAGTTAATATATTACTCTTAATTATAGTACTACTTGAGGTTTCAGCTCCTGAAAAGATTCTATAGAATTCTTCTTGTAGTACTAGTAACAGTTAATTTCAAAGTTTAAAAACTGGGAGAAACTTAACACTGAAATTTTAAGATATAATGAATGACTAAACAATAATAAATGCAGCAAACAGGAATTTCTCAAACTGAAAGGCAGCCTTACCTAAGCTTTAAGTATATGAAATGCAGGTGAGCTTACTTATTTAATGAACTTTTAGATGTAAGCTCCGTTACCAAGAATTTATAGCTACATAAGTGTTAAATAAATACAGTAAGTTCATTACTATGTAATTTCACAACCTGCATATGAAACTTAAAGGTATAAAATAACATACTGAGTTAATCTCTAAAAGAAAGATTTCAACCAAAACCCATAAAACTTTCCTGAGAATTTAGCTGTGGTATTGTACTTTTACCTTGAGATGTTCAGATTAAGTTAATTCATGTGCATCAAAAATTATTAGCAAAGCTGAATGTTGTAGGCTGGCCTAAAATATCCACTAACCATTTATTTAATGATAATATTTGCTGTTCTATACTTGATTGGTATTGAGGGCTTTATACATTTGTAGCCAAGAAATAGGGAAATACACAGAATGCGTTATCCACACTGGGGGAGGGGCTGTGTGGAACAGACTGTATCTGTGGAATGCTTTGCTTTAAATTTCCACTTAGACTAAAAAAACGTAAAGCAATAAAGAATTTGGTTTTAAATATATACATAGGAAGATTAACAAATCTAAACAACAAAGGTCTTGAGGATCTGAAAAAATATCAGCAGGGAAGTAAGAAAAAAACAGCTGACGGCAGCAGTATCTTAAAACTCTCTGAGCTGTTTCTCCAGCCTACTCAAGTCTAATGACCAAATGAGATAAATGTTTGCTTCTTATTTTCAATGTAACAGATTGGATCAAAAGGAAATTAATAACCTGATTTGGTTTTCAAGCAATCACTTCAAAGTGTAAGCTAAAGTTAAAACATGAAAATTAAAATGTTAGTATATATAGTAACACACAAATATATATGAAGTTAAATTAACATAGTGCTATCTAGTTAGTGAAATAAAGACGAGAGACAGTAATGGTTTGTACAACCATGCTAAAATTTTCCAGAAACTGTCAGAGCTCCACAGACCATCAGTAGAACACAAGCTGCTTTTTCCCCAGAATCCCTATCTGACTGAACACACCAAAATGGAGAAAAGGAAGCCTGTTTTAAGCTTCCTAGCAGAAAGCAATATATCCTGTATCACCTAGAAAATGCGAAATATAAAATGTTTCATCAAGTCATTCAACTGGAGTTAATGTAACTGTATCAATGGTGACTTACTGCATTATGCATAGTGCCCAGACTGACCTTTTTTCCTTTGGTTATTACTCTGAGCTTCATCTTCGCTAATATTATCTCCTGGACCATCTGGCTTTGCCTCCAGGTTGTCTCTGATTCCATTATTGCTTTTTTGATCAGATTTCTCCTCCTTTTCTCTTTTATTTGTTGGCTTCTTACTGTGACTTAGTGTCTTACACTGTAAGAGATACCAGTAATTATTTCTGACAGTACAGCTGCTGGTAACAAAAGGTATAAATTTCTTTTATCTGTTAAAATTCCTTTATTCTTACCTGTTCTCAACTTCTTCAGTAGGATAAGTTTTAAGAACTGTGCTGTTTTGAAAAATTCTCATTTTTAATAGCTCTATTTTCTGCTAAATTGGCAAAAGTGTAAAAAGAATTTTTAGACTGAAAGTTTTTGTTTGGTTGGTTTGTAACTGAAGAAGTAGAGTTGTGGAGTGTACAACCGCCACATTTCAATACCTCAAAATCTAAATTTATTTGATAGGAAAGAAAGGAATATTATTCATTTGTACCTACTGCTCAGACCGGTTATCTTTAAAAAGCTGTGCTTACAGAATACTGAATGGTAAATCAGAAATTCCCATGATGCTGTACAATCTCAACAGCATGACGAATGTTCATGTAAACCATAAGGAGCCCTAGGTCTTAACCCTGACAATTCTGTTCCACTAAATCAGAACATGAATCGAGGTTCAGAGGATGTGGAGATGTATGATTAGAGATTTATTTTTTCCCCACATCAGAATATGGCATTTACTGGGAACTGTGTGCCTTTGAGTAGTGCCAGCATTCTACAGAACATAATTTCTTGGAAATCCCACAGAATAACAGGTTTCAGAGAAGGCAAAATGAACAGCATTTTACCAAATAGTTGAAAGTTTCATTTTTTCCTGGTATTGACACAGACTGCAGGATGAAGGGATTGAGAGCAGCTCTGTGGAAAAGGTTTTGGTGGTACTGATGGGTGAAAAGCTGACTATGACCCAACAATGTGTGCTCGCAGCCCAGAAAGCCAACTGTGTCCTGGCCAGCAAGTCAAGGGAGGCGATTCTCCCCCTTCATCTCCGCTCTTGTGAGACCCCCCCCTGCAGTGATGTCTCCAGCTCTGGGGACCCAGACATCAGAAGGACATGGACCAGCTTGAGCTGGTCCAGAGGAGGCCACAAAGATGCTCAGGCAGCTGCAGAACCTCCCCTGTGAGGACAGGCTGAGGGAGTTGGGATTGTTCAGCCTGGAGAAGAGGAGACTCCAGGGAGACCTTAGAGCAGCCTTCCAGTGCTTCAGGGGGGCTACAGGAAAGCTGGGGAGGGACTCTTTATCAGGGGGTGTAGGGATAGGACAAACGGTAATGGTTTTAAACTGAAAGAGGGCAGATTTATTTTAGAAAAAAAAGAAGAAATTCTTCACTGGGGGGGCGGTGAGGCCCTGGCCCAGGTTGCCCAGAGCAGCTGTGGCTGCCCCCTCCCTGGAAGGGTTCAAGGCCAGGGTGGACGGGGCTTGGAGAAACCTGGGCTGGTGGAAGGTGTCCCTGCCTGTGGCAGGGGGGCTGGAACTTGATGGTCTTTAAGGTCCCTTCCAACCCAAACTGTTCTATGATTGGATATAGTATCTACCTGCAAAATTAAGCTTCTCAGACATTTCTGCCAAACAGAAAGAATACTATGCTGGGGAGATGGCTTTGAACCTGCTTGAGTACATACAGTAGGTACTGCAGTACTATGCCAAGATTAGTTTAAACACAAAGCCTCCCCTTAGACAAATCAATTGAGATTAAATACAAACTGAATGTTATTTGGTTTAACAGACACTACATGAATTTGTGTACTAAAATTCTCACATACTTAAGTCAGAAAAAGGTTAATTAACATCTACACAATAACAATCTATACCATCTGGTAAAACAGCAGTCTTTTAAAAAATGCTGTTGAAGCAGACTATTTCAGATAGAAAACACCTAATGTGTATCTTCTTATGAAACACTGTATATGTATCCCTCAGCCACTCTGTTTAGTAAGGTACAGATATCATTAATCATATAAAAATTTGACATAGTAACCAAGCAGATGAAGACCTGCAGTACTAAAAAGAATGTAAAAGAAACAGGTGCACATTTTCTTAAGTCACCAAAATCAGTATTAAAAAACAACAAAAAAAAAGATGCTAAAATAAACATATTCTAGACTTCGTCACAAATCAACAGTAGTATTTGCAAGTATTATTAAAGGATATTAAATTTAATCTTTTCAATGCTATTCAACCTCCCATATCTAAGCTCAGCAGACCCTCTGCTTTTTTAAGCATTAGAACATGATAGAAAATATTATTTTTTGGACACAGTTACAAGTTTCTCTGCACTCTGACATGTTAAAACAGTAGTCTCTGAAAAGTTATAAACAAAAGGTATTGCATAGTGGAACTGACTACACAATCTTCAAGAGCAGCATTTTTGAGTTATTAGACTGTAGCAAATGAAGCAGCTGTGCATCTGCAGTATAAAAAACACAGATGAAATGATTTCTAATCTGATGAGTAACTAAGGAAGCAGCTTGATGCACAGCTAAGAGTTATACACCTCTAATGCCACCAGATTAATTAACATTTCAGATGCAAGTCATGCATCCTTCATGATATCGTTAAATATATCACCACTGTCTTCTGAAGTGGTAGTCTCTTCCATTCACACCTCAGCAACTGACACGAATACTGATGGAGAAACTTATACTTTAAAAAAAAAAAAAAGTCAAATCAAGGATCTTGTATAAACCATGACAGAATGTGTGCACACATTCAAGTATTCTAACTAGCATGTGAGCAACTTAACGAGCATTAAAACCTGAATAATTATATTCCAATAAAGTAAAGATTCTTCTAGCAGTCTTAAAGATTTTCTTTGAGATCCTGTAGAACAAGCTACTGAGGAGGCAAATTCTACCTAGCAGTAAACATAATGTTGTGTCAAACCTAGAGACACCTATAATTTTGACCTGCAACACTAAAAGCCTGGTTAGACACATGAAAATGTTCTGTTGCTGACAAACGAAGTTATGACAACCAGTTGAGGGAGAAGGGAGGGTGTTAGAAACTGAGCCCGCAGGACAAATGATTCATGCCAAACTACCTTAACACACTCCATTTCAGTTTTCATTTGGACACTTTCAATTATACAGTGCACTTTGTTGAACCCGTATCTTCTGGTTTCCCTCACCAAGCGAACAGTAAAAGCATCACAGGGGTGCTGCAGAACTAAAGCAAAGTGAAATGGCACCTGACAGTTTGCCGTAATCTCCACTCTGTTCTTGTTTAAATAGCATAAAAGAGGTCTAAGATATGTTATGCACTTATCACTTGAGATACAGTGAAACGAAGATAATTTGATGGAACAGATGTTAACTAAAGGGGAAAATGTATCAGAGGAATAGGGCAAGGATAAACAAATTGTCCTGAGGCAACATGCACAAAGTGTCCTGAGCCACAAGGGAGGGCAGCATGTTCACAACCCCGAAGGCCTTCTCATCTGTACATAAACTTCCCAACAAGTAGAAAAGGGAGATACAAGTTTGAAAATTGTGGAGTAAATATGGCACATTTTTACCTACATGTCCACGGCACACCACTAACAATAAATGGAATGTATATGTGTGGTCTTGCAAAGGGTTCAGAAATCCTGGTACCAGTGCAGACAGTTAAGCACAGAGCAGTATCCTGAATTACTGACAAAATTTCTACTGAAACCCTGCAACACCCAAAGCACATTCTGAGGGCAACAGTATTAAGCAGAGAAGTCACTAATGTTTTTAAAAAAATAATACTGAAGATAACAAAGGATACTTACTTCATTGTTTGCTATTTCACTTGGTGTTGGCCAGTTTGCTATATCACCAAAATCACCAGCCTGCAAAGATGACAAACAGTTTATACTACTTCCTAGATTAGTCCTTTTTAATACATGGAAGTTGTCAGCCATGACTCAGATGGCCAGACCACTCCTTTGAGCAGAACTGTTAGAAGTAACAATTTTTAAAAACTGAGTACAATGGAGAACAAACACACAACTTTTGAAAACAGAGTATGATCAATTGCAGAAACCATTCATTGCAGCTACACTCAAATCAAGGTCCAGTACACCTTAGCTTGTAATTAGTATAACTGTTTAAAGAGTGCCTTCTCAAAGAATATTTTTAAAGTTGACACAGCCAAACAAAGATAGCAAGCAAGCAAAATTTTCTACATTCTTTTATAAAACAAACTAAGAGGGCTTACAACTTTTAAACGCACATAAAACAATTGCCAGATTAAATGTTGTCTTACACATAGTTTCCTATGTGATGTAAAGGTATGTACTGCTTCAAAGTGCTTTTGGAAGAGCTTTGAACACAGGTATTATATAACCTAAAAAGGGGTGGCTGTACAAAATTTTTCAACAAAAGGATTCTGTGTCTCCTGTTGTCATAATTATCATTTTATAACAGCACATAAAGCACACACATCACAAAATACGCAAAAAAAAAAAAAAAAAAAAAAAAGATTTCCAAAACCAATCTAGCATCACTTGAGCTCAAGCGATCGTTTCTTTACAGCCCCTTCACATTTTTATATAATCCCATTGCTTTTTCAAACAAAAGTGCCTTTCCTTATCCCTCATACATACAACACTTTAGCATCCCTTTTAATTTTAAATTTCCCTTCCTTTTTCACTTTTCTCTGTCTTCAAAATTAACCATTACCAATGCAGAACATAACACTTCTGGTTGTAACTTCAAAATGCCTTGCTATCTTTTTATTTTAGTAATATCAGCAGCTATTTACCATATTGAATATTTACAGCCAAAAATACTCCTTGGAAATGATTTCATTTTCCTAACATATTATCAGCTCAGCTAAATGACAGTTTAGGTTAACAGGTTAAATAACTGGGACTTCTTAACACAATGAGTAACTCATAGTTAAATGTCCTTATGGCAAATACAAACCTTGCTGCATTTCCTTGTCCTGGGTTTTGCCGCTTTTATAATTTTAGTAGAATTTTCTAGTTCTGAAAAGGAAGAAAAATATTTTAAAGTGAAGAATTAGACTGCACCTTAAAAGAATAAGGAAGGTATACTTTAATAACTCTGTTTAACTATCTATCATGATACATCAAAGTTTTTTTGAGGCCTTGGTATTGGAGTCAATGAATATTTCCATAAAGTAACTAATACTACATGAGACTGAAAAACTCCCATTCATAATGAACGTAAATTATCTTGAAAACTAGGTGTACTGGATACTGAGTATCACAGCATTTAAGCATTCACTCAGCTGCAAGGTCAAGACTATCTCAAAACGCTGGTATTTTAACCTAAGCAGCAGCAAAGAAAATGAGCGCCTGAAACACATTTTGAAAGTTATCCTATGAGAAGCTATATTTTTAAGACAGAATTAATTTACGAAATCTATCATTATGCAAGCATGAAAAAAACATAGATACAATTACATATTCACAAATTCCTAAGTAATTTCCTTTTATAAGCAAATATTCAAGTGCTAAATAAAATTTAGCCATGTTGTTCATAATCAAGCCAAAGCAATGAAGAATAAAAAAAAAAATAAGGAAAGAAGAGAAAATTACTTTAAAAACTACATTAAAACTAATAAATTCTAATGCTCAAATTCCACAATGGATAGGTTTACGATAAATAAGAGCATCTGCAACAAAGTTGACACTCACATGTTTTCAGAATCATCCTGAGTCAAGACCTAAAACTTTATAATAATGATCCCATCTGATGTCCTGAGCAAGAGCCTATTATACTTCTACTAGTTAATATCTCCCAGAAATTAATATAATGCTTGGAAATAACTCTGATAATATACAGCCACATTTTTGGGCCTAGCAATCTAGGATCAATAACCTACACTGAAAAAAAAAAAGTATCTTTAAACTTATTACATCTTTTAATACATGTTCAATTACCCTTCTGTATATTAATCTGGTTTTCTCATTTTGTGCAATATTTCCATACCTATCTTAATTGTGTTCCACTTTTTGCATTGGGAATTCAGGGAAAAAAAAACAAACCTCTAGTATCAGGCAATTTTTCTTGGAGATTGAAACTGAGACAGAGGAAACTACCTCTTAACTTCTGTTAAGCCCTGGTTCTGTTTTCCCAGTGCGTATTTTCCCACAGAGAAGTGGTCACAATCCTTCCTTGAAGCTTCTAATTCAGTACTTTACTGCAAGACAAGCTTGAAACACTGAACATGACGGAAATCACTAGTGGATTATTATTTCATGCAGGGATAACATCACCTTCTCAACACTTATCTTTTTCACATCCAGTGACTAATCTTCCTTATCGCAGCTTCACACTGGGAACCCCACCCTCGTGCCCCAGTGACTCTGAAAACCCTCTCTGTCTGCTTCCTGGAATATACTGTGAACGTTAGAAGCCTGAACTAATGTATACTCCATATTCCACTGTAAATTATATTAATACTGCTATACACCATTTGCACATCACAGAAGACATGTGAATTCAGTGACTCCTGATTGGCCTTTGCCCCTTACCACACCATTTACCAGCACGTTTTTATCCTCTCTTCCAGATCTGCTTTTTAAAACAAAGACAAAACACACACACACACACTCCTGCCAAAACTGCCTATTTCTTGTTTATTCAGTCTCAATTAACTTTAGACCAGGAACTTTCAGAAACACACAGTGACTGTGTAATCCTAATTTTTACTTGTTATTCAATAGTAAACTAATTGCCCTTTATAAAACAAGACAAACAGCTGTAGAGGTGGAGTAGCAAACAAATTTGTAATTTTCTCCAACAAAACTGCTAATTATCTGCAAAGGTAAACTGACTGGCCATAGCATTTGTCCTCCAATAGTCTGTAAACACACATCTCTCTCTAGCTGTTCAATTACCTTACTGAAGCCCTTTTTCCATCTCACAGCACTTTTACTTAAATTGCTGCTGAAGGACTGCTCTGCCAGAACTTCTACTCCATGTGTCACCAGGGCGTAGCAAGGGATTCAAAAATAAAAGACTCAATGTTGCTGCACTATCTTAGTCATGGGATATTATTCCAGGCAGCAGGAGAGGCTATCTGAATTGAGTAGAATGAGACCCAACTCGTTTTAAGGAATCTATCTTATCTGTATGTACTAATCCAAGACTTGGAAGATGCATTTGCACGCTAAATGAAAAGAAAATTAATATTAGGCAACACACACCTGGTTGACGATGCCTGAGATCTCACCACGCTGCATACTTTCCTACCCGAAAATAACTCCACAGTTTTTCTCGTCCTCCCAAGAGCCATGCTCAAAACCAAATTTAATTGATCTTTCCTGACCAGCTTTCTGAGGCTTATCATGTGGGAGTTGGATTTTAACATGAAGCATGAAAGGGAAGATAAAGAGGAAGGGAAAAAAACAACCAAACAAACAAACAAAAAGAAGGTGGGAGAGTAAAATAGCAAAACATCAGATGACTTAAAGGTTTTACCCAGGTCACATCTGTCATGTTGTTATGAATGAGCCTAGAGACACTGTTCAGGCAAAACTTAATCTAGAGGATGTTGAGATAAAAGTTCTATGCTTAACATTACTTTGGTGTTTGGTTTCAACATTGCGTAACAGTGCTGAATACTCAAAAATGGCATCTTTAGTACACCGCTCCAGCAGAACCCAACAAGCCCTTGCAAATAAACTGCTTCACTTACTGTTAATTCCAACCTAACTGTATTAAAATGGTGTATTCTGTCACAGGTTACAAGGTACCCTCTTTAGTAACAGCATGCTGTGTTGACAAAAGAATTCAAGTTACCTACAATTACTTTACTTGCTGGGTTTTGAGGAGGTGGGAGGGAGGAAAAAAAAAAAAAAAAACAAGGATGAGGAAGTTTAATTGCCAGTGATCATCTTTCAATCACTGAACTCGATCCAGTAAAGATACCATCCACATGAAAACTGAAATCAGCCTTCAAAGCGATTTTCATTATGGTTCTTCCAAGTCTCTTAATACACCACACATCCTAACAACAGGTATTTTCTGCCAAAAGACATGGATGTTCAAACATGCCAAGTGCAGTATGTCAAGACACATGCGGGGACAGTTCTGAAAAATTAAAGATGAATATTGGAACTACTGAAACAGCAGCAATCCTCTGGGACAATAGCAACAGGAAAGGAAAAGCAGACTGGACAGTGTGCAGAGATAAGAGAAGCAAAGTTTGTACATAAAGGTGTATCACCAAAGTACCGCTAATTACAAGAGAAATTACGTTTCCAGTAGTAGTACTTCAGAATGGATGGTTTGAAGTTCTGCAAATAAGTATTTAGCAAGTATTTTTTTTCTGATGGAAGGGGAAGGATGATATTGCCAATTTCTTCGGAAAGCAAAGCCTGTTAGTAAAAGGTGGAACATGTTCTAATTTTGATACAAATGCGATTCATGCTATAAGGATTTCTAGGCAATATTCAAATTTTAGTTTTACTTGGACTGCACGTGTCCTTCCCCAGTGAAGGAACAACACTGCATAAATACCAGAAGTGCTTCAGGAGGCAATTGAAGTCACCCAACAGAACAATTCTTCAAAACTTCAGTGGAACGTGTATGTAGAACTTTTACAGCATTTTCCTTTCTGTGCTCAGTTTGAAACTTCACAGTATAATGCATTTTTAAACAAGGTAAGCTATACTTAAATCTCTTGTTTTAATAGATAAATGTGAAAGTCTTGCAAACATGACAAAACAATCCCTTGGAGTATATTATATTTTCAATCTAGAGCATGGATTTAGATCCCCCAAAAAACGCCAAAACCTACCATATAAAGTTATATATGCTGTTATACACAACTAAAATACAGACAGCAGGTTTGTAAAGATGTTTTTAATCCATTCTGGGTTGAGATAATTGTTAATGAATGTTGTACCTTCTGATAATTCTTACAGTAATTTTTAAAAGCTGCTATTAAACCACTCGGTGAATTCATAAGAACTAACAATATTATCTGCCTTAGATACACAAAAAAAAAATTATAATCAGATCATTTACCAATCAAAAGCTTGCTATTCCTAGTAACACAGTATAACTTTACTAAAATGTGCTCTTACAACTTGTTTTGCTAACAGACTAAGGCAAATTAATTTATACAACAGCACTACAGTGAACTGGTTCTACTACCAAAATATCAATCAGATAAAAGACGTTCTTTGATGTCTAGAAATAAACACAATGAAGAAAGGCAAACTGATCACAATATAGAAGAATGAAGCGTGTGGTTATCTTAATTAACTACATCATTCAATCACACTAGGAAGGAAACCAATTTCAACCACTTAAACAGCACAGATACTATGCTTCATTGAATACTTTCATAAATTTCATGAACAATTTTTGAATAATTATCTAATCACAGAACGGATTGGGTTGGAAGGGTCCTTAAGAACCACCTAGTTCCAGCCCCCCTGCCCCGGGCAGGGCCCCCTTCCCCCAGCCCAGGCTGCTCCCAGCCCCGTCCAACCTGGCCTTGAACCCTTCCAGGGAGGGGGCAGCCACAGCTTCTCCGGGAAACCTGTGCCAGTGCCTCACCACCCCCACAGTGAAGAATTTCTTCCTTTTATCTTATCTAAATCTACCTTCTTTGAGTTTAAAACCATTACCCTTTGCCCTATCCCTACACCCCCTGATACAGTGTCCCTCCCCAGCTTTCCTGTAGCCCCCCTGAAGCACTGGAAGCCTGCTACAAGGTCTCCCCAGAGTCTCCTCCAGGCTGAACAACCCCAACTCCCTCAGCCTGACCTCACAAGGGAGGTCCTCCAGACCCCTGAGCATCTTCGTGACTCCTCTGGACCCGCTTGAGCAGGTCCATGTCCTTCTTACGCTGGGGGCCCCATTGCTGGACACAGCACTGCAGGGGGGGGTCTCACAAGTGCAGAGTAGAGGGGGAGAATCCCCTCCCTCGACCTATTGGCCACCATGAATCGTTAGAGACCCACATCAGCTATACAAATCACATGAAGACTAGAGAACTTGACATTCAGATTCCCTTTTGCAAACTTACAGAAAGGGAAGCAGTTTAGGTTTCATCAAACAAAGAGGTGGGAGAACTTATATAATACAATTATTTCAACAACTGCATCCTGGGCACATTATTTATATGGAGGAAGTTAACCAGTCCCTTCTGTGACAGCCCAGCTCTGAGGGGTAGCTGAGGAAAAACAAGTCTCAGAGTAAAGACAAAGAATACAGAACTAACACTGGGTTGTTCCTCAGCTTCCGTACAGACACATCTTCTTGGCTCAATTAAAAAAAAAATTACCTTGTAAAAAATTATCTACAGGATTATATATGACTTCTTCCTTGCAACCGTTCCTCCCTTTTATTCACAGATCTTCAGCTTGAAGAACTGAAGACTTACTGCAATATATTGGCTGGGCACTATGAGGGAAGGCAAGGGGAGGAATACACACCACAGAAGTACCTTTCATCATTTGACAGCCGATGCTAAAGCTAACTCCCTGTGTTCACAATCACCAGGATTAGACAGAAGCCTATTAATTTCACTAGCAATTTTATACTGCTACCAGTCTCTCTCTATGAGTTAAATGCAGATTAGGATGTAATTTCAGAATCACACAGCTACTTTTATTCTGTTTAAAAGAGAAGTTTAATAAAAGGCTTAGTCAGAAACACTGAACTGTGGTAACAAATATACCATGAAAAATTCAAATATGTTTACATTGGGTGTTTGGTTTACTATAACATCATTAAAACCTATTAACACATCCGAGACAAAAATATAATAGGTCATAGTAACAACACTTTGACTGAACTCTTTTGCCAAGAATTTTAAGCCTTTTACATTATTTTTTTCCTTCTCGTGCCGGTGACGTTAATAGTTTCTTTCAGCAACAAGAGCCAGGTTTGCCTCTACTACAAACTAATACCACGCTAAATTGAAAGTCAAAAGATGACAGACTGGGATCAATTTTCTCAAGTGCGTAACTATCACTGAACATACCATACGTGCACATCTCAGGAAACTTTCAACAAATTAAGCCAGGATCAACAAGTCAAACAGGATTAAGTCACTACTTTGATGTGAGATTCTTTTACGTTTTATTATCCTCTTTACGGATAGTTTTACATTCCATCCCAGTAGTATTTCTGCTCATCTACTTATTATTTCACATGACGAATTTCCATACTACCACATTCATAAGGGCCTTGTGTGACTGATTCTGCTTTGCCAACGTGCAATTAGTTACTTCAAAATACATCCCTCGTTGCAGATGGAGGCACATGGCAATTCCTTCCTTCCAACAGTCAGGAAAGATAAGATGCTTTGCCTTTTGCAAGGGAAAGAGCAGTGGCACCTTCATGGTGCTGTCAGTGGTGGCCAAACCAAACCACACACCCTCGTACACGTTCCTCACCGATGCAATTACCAGCAACAGCGACTCCCATATTTGCTCCACTGTACACTTGCCACTGAAAATGATGTTCCAGTGCAGCTACTCAGTTTAATATTAATTTGATAAATGGTAAGCACAACTTTTATGCAGAGAAAAATAATTTTAAGTTCTCTGAAATCATCAAATTAAGCATATAATGTGCACAGCGTATGAACTCACTGCCTCCTTTCTCCTCCTTCCTTCAACAACTATTTGTTTGTTTTATCTTAAGTGGAAAAGTAAACTGTACAGAAGGTGAAGCACAAGGTGCTAACGCAACAAAAGAAGCTTTCCCAATGCTTCTGATGTACCATTATTATTACTGCCACAGCAAGGCAAATGAGTGACAAGTTCTCTTTCATGCATGGACAAGACCACAGGCTGCTGCCCAGCAAGCCAGATTGTAGAAGCTACGCATAAATAGGTATTTATGAGTGCGTCAGTACACACAAACAAAACAGTCAGGATGATAAAGATGACTGTATATGTTGCCAAAAGGTTTGATCTTCAGCTAAGTAGAGATTTTGTGGTCTGGAAAACTACTCTGCTTGCGTGACCTGTATACTTGAAACTATAAATTATATATTTCTCTTTATGAAGGAAGTACACATTTATTTCAAGGATAAAAGTGACTGTGAGATCACAAAAAGGTTTGTCAGGTGCCTTCAGGAACAAGTACTTAGATTGAAATTCTCAGGAAACACAGGTTGAAATACGTATTTTGATGTCAGCGGTTTACTTCCAGCCAAGAACAATACTCCAAGAAGCTGCTAACTTCTAGGAACTCTTTGCTAGCCTAAGCATAAAGCCTGGCGATTTCAAATCAGGTCTTCAGCAACCAACTTCACAAAGCCATTTGCCTGTATAGTCGGTATGGAGCCCATAAAGCAGTGTTATCTTACATGTAGTGATCAAAGGCCAGAAAATTATACCACGGCTACTCTCGCTACATCTCTTTCCACACAAACAGTTGGAATCCCGACAGCAAGCAAACTAACTACTTTTGTTAATATTTAAAGCCTCTGCAATCCGAGTGTTCTGGAAAGCAAAACCAAGTAACGGATTGTACAGAGGGCCTTACTATATAATTAGGCAAAAAGGACCTGCGGTAAAGCAAACGGGATTTAGCAATATTGGTAAAGAAAATGAAAGCGAGCCAAGCAGCTTACCAGCCCTCTTCGCCAGCACCAGAGCCCAGGGCCATGCGGGGCTCGCCGGGGGTGCCCATCTGCAACCCCCGGAAGCTTGCAGCCAGCTCAGCGCCTCCCTCACGCTGTGTCCCCCTGGGTCCCCTCCCCACGCCGAGCCGCTCCTTTCGCGTGTCGTGTGTCCCCCCCCGACCCGCAGTCAGGGGAAGGCGGCGGCCGGACCCGTCCCCCGTCCCCCCCCCCCGCCTCCCTCCTCTGCCCATGTATGTCAAAAGCCCGAGCGCCCGGCGGGGCCGCTCCGCACCCGGGCCCTGCTCCGGCGGCTCGCTGCCCGCCCGCGGAGTGGGGAGAAACACGCACGTTTCTTTTTTTTTTTTAAAAAAAAAAAAAAAATTCAAACCACAAAACAAACCCCGCAAGCAAAAAGCTATCGCCGCACGCCAGCCAGCGCCCGGCCCGGCCCGGCCCGCCACCCCCGGCCCGGCCCCACACCTGGGTCCTGCGGGTGGAGCTGCCCGTCGGCCGCGGGTGGAGAGGGGCTCTCCCGCGTGGGTCTGCGCCTCGTCCACGGGTTCTCCTTGGGCGGCGGGGCTTCCACCGCCGCCCGCCGCCGGCCGCCCTCCTCCGCGGCCTCCTCCCCGCGGGGCGAGCCGGGCTCCGGCTGCCGGGGCCGGTCGCCCGCCGGGCCGCCGCCCTCAGCCTTCCAGCCCCGCCGCTCGGCGGGCGCCGCCGCCACCTGCGCCGCGGACATGCCCGGCCGCCCGCCGCGAGGGGCCGCCAGCCGGGCCGGCCGCAGGGAAGCCAAGCCGGGGAGGCGGAGGGGGAGCCCGCCTCCTTCTCCTCCTCCTCCGCCCCTCCGCTCCGCGCCGCCCCACCCCGCCGGAGAGCCCCTGGCAGCTCCCCCCCCTCCCCCTCCCCGGCCGAGCCGGTGCTCGCTCCCTCCTTCCCCTCAGCCGCTCACTCAGCCAGCGCCTCCCGCCGCGCAACTCCTTCGCTCAACAAGGGGAGAAGCGAGCGAGGAGCCACCCTGAGCTGAGCCGAGCCGAGCCGAGCGGCGCCGCCGCCTCCGTAGGGCGGGGAGGCGCTGCCGGTCGCGCTGCGCCTCAGCCGCCCCGCCCGGCGGAGCGGAGGGGGGGGGGGGGGGAGCGGGGGGTGCGCGAGCGGCGGCCGCCAGCGCCGCGCGGCCGAAGGGCGGGGCGGGGCACCCCCGTGCGTTATGACCTCACAGCGTCCGGGCTCGAGCGCGGCGGCGCGAGCGCACCCTTTAGCACCGGCGGCGGGCTGCAGCAATAACCGTCAGAAACGCGTGTCGTTTAAGCACCGTGGTGGGCAACGTCTCCCTCAACTCCCCGCCGCCTTCTGACCTTCCGTTAATAAGCCTGAACTAATTAAAAAAATAAAAAATAAAAAAAATCTTAAAATAAAGCGCCTTAGGTGCCGAAGCGGCGTACGATGCAAAGCGGACGGTCACCCCCAGGCACACCCCACCCCAGAAACACATCAACGAAAGAACTCGGCGCTCCCCCACGCTGCTAAAACCCCTAAACCTTTACAGTGAGGGCAATGGCTCGGCTTTGAAAACGTCATTGAGAATCGGGGATAATTTGTAGATTTACTATCAAAATGACTGGAGCTGGTTGAGCAGAGGGCGGAGAGCAAGGGGAGGTGAAGAAGGCAGGCACAGATGTGCTCGGAGGAGCTGGGGGGCTCCTGCTCCCCCTTATCCGCACACCCAGCTAAAGGTGGTTTAAGCTCTTGGGTAATACTTCCTGGACATTTTGGTTTTATAGGTCTTTCCTGTACTTCTACATTACAACAAGGGTCTCGCAGTACAGGGGGAGGGTGACGACGCGGGGTTGAAGCAAAGCGGGCATCTCCGGTCCAGGGCACACCTTCAAGCAGCCTGTGGGAACGCGCTCCCACCTGGGCAGCGAGGGAATCCGCCATCATTTCAGCACTGCACCACGCTGGTACCTTCGCTACCACACCATGTCTCCTCTACCTTTCTACTTTCTGCGATAGATCTCCCCAAAACCACCCCATAGCACCCGCATGCTGGTACGAGGCTTGTTGGATTTGTGAGGAGGCGACGGCCGCGCTTCTGCCACTGTGTTATTCCCAAAGCCCTACAGTCACAGAATGAGGAAAGCCCCCGCAGCATGAAATTAATCACTTTCTGCAATCTCCTCCTGCCCCAGCAATGCTCCTCGGTTACACTTTAGGACACCCCTTCCTCTCTCATTTCTTGCATTCAGTCTCTTGGCCCTGTTTTACTCCCTTTCTTATAAAAGGCGTTCCAGAAAAACTGACATCTATTTAATGAACTAAGCAAATTATTAAATAGGCTTTTATAAAGCTAGTCCAATATTTTTAAAGTAGTGTCACAAGTAACCAGATTTCCAGTAGCAAAGTATGTTCAGTTTGGGGGTAACACTATTCTCTGCCTTAAGGAGATTGTATGCAGTTTTACCCCCTCATCAGAAAAACCCCAGCAAACCCCCATCATAGCTCACACTTCTTCAGGCGTTTTTTAGGATTATTCTGGAACTCAAAAGCAGCTCAAAAAGAATAGAACCCATCTCCTGTCACACCAAGCACTAAAACGGTCCCGAGGGGCAGAAGCGGCTGGTGGCTGCCTTCCCCTCCCAAGCAAAGTTGTCACTTAGTCAGGCATGAGATGAGATCAGGTCACCTGGTGGGAGCCCAGGTCTCCCTCAAAGAAGAAACCCCCCAGGTGCTTGCCACCTTGTTCAGGGTATTTGGAAATTAATGATCTTTTGTGGTAAAAGAATGAAATTAAAACATCTACAATTGCTATGCTGCTATAAGCAAACCACGTAGATACTTTAATGCGCGTTTTCTGTAATGGCAAATTTAAGGTGTAAACATGGCAATAAGGGAAAAATTTCTCTTTTCATAAATAGAAAAAAAAATCACTATTGCTTCTAAACACTTTTTGTACAAAAAGTGACACATATATTCTTCCTTCATTTTAAATTTATATCGATAAAGATAGAATGATTAAAGCAAATCTTCAAACTCTTAGAAACATTTTTCTTTGCAACTAAGAACTTGATTTTTTTATCATGCAATAAATTTGCAAGTCAAGGACATGCCAGCTGCATACTGCAGTGACAAATTTATTTGAAATAGAGGAAAGCATTCTGAGTGAATAATTCTGACTGGGAAAAAAGCCACTATCTGTATACATTTACGTCTACATTCCTGAAAACAGGAGTATCAGTCACGCTACCTGTTCAGAGCAATTTTTATATCTTTTTGTTTGGTGTCCCCAACTCAGAAGTTAAGCAGAGGTTAGAGTGATATGAAAGTACAGAGGCCCTACCTAAGTCACTGGTAAGAAGGGGGTTAAACCTTCTGTTTCCTCTTTTTCACATACAAGCATTAGAAGATATGGAAGCAAGCATGTAGGCCAGTGGGACTTCAGGAACACTGAAACACTGCAGTGCAGGAACCTGAATAGACCAGGAAAAAACCAGGAAACTTATTAAGAATTAGATATGTGGGGGGCAAAAAAAAACAGCAAAAGCGACCAGTAATATGGCAGCTTGCGAAGTTTTTGGACATACTTGTTTTGATAACTCCATGGTAGTAAAAGGCTTACTGTATACTTTATTGGATGGACTGGGCCTGAAGAGTATATATATAAAGTTTTTACAGTTGTGCAAGACTCATCCTTAACTCCTTGTCCACTTTGTATCATCCCCCCTGTTACTTTCTAAGCAGGGCAAGTAAGACCTCCTTGGCAAAATTCACAGCGCTTTTTCCTTTAAGTCCACAGTATTTAAAATACTCATATTCGAAAAAGAGACTGATTTACATTACATGAAACCAAGAGAATAACGATCGTTATGAGCTACTTTACATTTTAAAGCTTATGTTTTATCTTGTGTAGAAGCATCCAAGCCTACCAGGAAACACTGCAAATTAGAGGATTGCATAATTCAGTAGCATTTTACTCATGTAATAGTTTTTCATGAGGAATTATGTGCCTACGGACTATATGAACCTCCTTTTAATACTGTGTAACTTATCATTACAGCCAAGCTGACAGAGAACCTGACAGTTTAAGATAAAGAAACTTCCCTGCCCAACCAACTGTAATTAAAATCAACATTCAAAAAAAGTGACACAAGACAGAAACAATTAGGATAAATAATAATAAAAAAGTTAACTGCCTCAAAAATGTTAGCAGCTACCAAGCAAAATAGCATTCTGAGGACTCCAGGATTTTTCACTTTCTAATCTATTTAAAGAGCATCTATATGAATGTATATGACATTCCAGTAGGAAAAAGCAACAAGACTCCACTCCTTCATATAATGGTACCTTTTTGCAGACCTTCTAGAGTGATACAAGAAATCTATCATTGCTATAAAAAACTTGATGAGCAGTCACTTTTGAGGAGTGTTTTTCAGACGTGGGAAAAAAGAAATTACAAAAAAACTCCATTCAACAATGATTAGATACATTGTGATCAGCACTGAGGTGCCAGGAGAGAAACATGTAAAGAAAACACTAAAAAAAAAAATTACTTGGGTTACTCACAGGTAACACACCAGACACCTAATATCTCCCTCTGTCCCAAGCCTTTCCTTTCAAATGTAGACAAAACACACTACCCGCTCCATTGGTCCTTATCACGTTTTGTCAGTATTAGTATGCAGAGGTGTTACCACGGCTTTCGCTTTTCAGACAGTGTAATTGAGCACTAAAATAAAATCGAGTGCATCTTGGTTGCTGGGTACAATTGGCAGGTTTCAGTCAGAATGATTGCTCCAGTTTCACAGAGTAAGCTGCAATAATTTTCCCTTTTTTTTTTTTTTTTCCCTTTGCATATAGACATCACCTCCCAGTAACATTTGCAGCTACCCATTCCATACAGCCTTTCAGCTAGCATGGGGTATTCCCATTCATATGACAGACTGCTGCAGACAATGAAATGGCCACCTCTTCTCCCAGCAGCAGCACCCCAAGACCCTACCACCACCCTCCCACATTGCAAGAGCAACCATCAACAGCAAGGGTGTTTTTTTTCAATTACTGCTGGACAGTCCTACAAGATACTCTGAGTTTATTATGGTACAACACACCCTCGCTTGGGACGCAGCAGCAAGAGGGAAGAAGTTGCACAGATTTTGGACCCTTTTAAAGGTAGAAAGGATTTTAAATAAGTCCGGGCAATTCTAGCGCAATGCAGCAATTAAAAAGAAAAGCAAAGCATTGGAATTACAGTGGTATCATAATTAGATGATACAAGCTTATTTTCTTTACTCAGTACTGCATGTAGAAAACCATGAAAGCCGTAACACTCTTTGTGATGTGAAGCTTTTATCTTGTACTATAGATTAACTGCTTTTCTTGTGCTCCAGTACTAGTAGGATTACATGATGACAATGAGATGTGTTTTGAATTCCTGTTAACAAGGAAGAAAAAAAACCTCGCAACTAACTTCTTTCAGGATTTTTATTAGAAAACATAAAAACCAAAAAATTATCAAGGCCAATTTTACAATAAATGTAAGACATACAGAATGGCTTACCTGCTATTTGGATTTAGTGCAGGAACCTCATTCCAGTATTTTTGTCATGAAATTGTTGCATTAAAATCACATTTTCAATTTAACATCAAAATAGATTATTAATAATGCTTTCTTAATATTTAACCTTAAAATCTGGTTTAAAAAGTCAATTTTCCAAAGGTTAAAAACATTTTACACAGCAAGATTCCCCCCTTTACAGACAAGCTAATAGCTTCCCATGTCTGATAACCGGCAGAAACAGACCACAGAGCTCATTTGTCCTTTTTGTTATTCTAACCTGAGAATTTTTTTAAATGCTTCTTTCTGGGCTTTCATATTTGGCACCATTACTTTAGTTACATAGCAAAGTGTGATCTGTCATTCTTGTCAGAGACCAGCCTTTCACTCCTTATCCCAACAGACACTCTCACAAACAGGAGTTACATTAGCATAAATCTGCTTCTGTTAATAGGATGCCCCTTTGGCAAGTTAAACCTTGTTAGTAATATCATTGGAACACTAACCTCAGGTTGTCAAGTTCCCATCAGTTGTGTAATTCCTAGTATTGTGCGCTTTGAAAATATTTACTTTGGCATGTTATACTTTGTAGCATAGATAAATTGATTTTTTTTGTGTGTGTGCTTACTCCCCGCCTTACAAAATCTCTTTTCTCTCTTCCATGCCCTTTCCCTTGCCACCAGTTATCTCCCTTTCTCATAGCTGCAACAGAAACAGGACATAAAGCACACAAGTACATTTAAAATGTGAGATCTAAAAAAGTTGCTGAATAGCAGACAATTGTCTTTTAAAACACTCTTAGTCAATGAATAAGCTTGTAAAACATAAACCCCATAAATCTTTCAGTATAGTTTTCAGGCCTTCAATTTTAAATTAGTAAGCTTACTTATATTTCATTTCTAACCTTCCAACATTCAGTGTTTTACTACGTTTAAATGCGCTAGTCACTTCATATTTGCTCCCAATATATATAAAACCAGCACTGTTTAAAGAAATTATGAAAAAATACTCGAAACAAGCAATTTAACTTTCAACTGAATACAACTTCTTTTGCATTTTCAGTAAATTTGTATGTTAAATAATTTGGGTTATTACAAATTGTAGCCCTTCAGTTTTACATGAAGTTATCTGATTTTCAAGTGAACCATAATTTCTTCCCAGTTACCATTCCTGTCTGCCAGACTAAAATTCAGAAGAATATATTTATATAGACTGAACTTTGTTTACTTCATACTTTGCTTATTAAAAACCATTACGCTAACTATGAAGATCAATGAACTGATTGATTCGAAAGGTGTAGAAGTCACATAACCCAAGAAATGGCTGGATTTTTCTGTTTGTTTCTATGTACCTCTGGTTGTTACTGTACTAAAATTAATATGGAAGTGTTTCAGTTTTCAACTTCTCTGCAAACTAGCTTTAAAAGAATGTTTCACAAAACAAGATGTGGACAGATACCATGTACAGCTGACGCATGACAACCTTTTATTCTACCATAATTTGCTGGCATTTTTGATCTCAAAAGATGAAACAACAGACTTTATATTTTCTTAAATGCATTCATAATCCTAATTTTTAAATTTTCCATCCAATAAAAGAAAAAAAGTGTTGAAAAATAAGGAGTTAACCTAATTGCTTTTATAACCCTTAGCGTCACATACTTTTTTTAATATTATACTGTGAAACTATTTTGCCTATCTGTGCTGAGTACACTTTAAAAAGGACCTCTGTTGAAATATTTTCAACAGGTCTTTATAGCACCATATATTCTGCTGTTGATTTAACTGTCCAGAATCAGACTCTGTGTGCCACTACTTCTAAAGAAAAATGATTACAGTTTTGTTTCCTCTGGCATTCTAAAAAAAAAAATTCTAAAAGAAAAAGTTTGTGTTATCCAACTGAATGCATGTAAACAACTAATTACTAGACACTCCACTTTCACTTAATTCCAGTTTTGTGCAACTGATCAATGAATTGCTACATGATTCTTTTGGAATGGCACACTTTAATTCAGTGGCAGAAAAGTCTCATGGACGCAGTGAATGAAAACTTATGTGTCTCACTTCACTGAATTTTGAAAGTCTCTTTTTGACAGATTTGATGTTGCCCTTCTATTATAGATAATTTTCAATTCATAATAGAGAAAATCAGTGACAAACACAAGAGGCCAAGTGCTGGCAAAGCCATAGTACAACACAATAGGAACAGAAAGGGAACAAGGAAGCAAGATGAAACCAAGGTACCTGGAATGAACTAGAAACACACTAAACGCAAGTGAGTATCTTATCCCTACAGCAAATTTTACATTCTTTCAATACTTACATTAGTTTGTTTTCAACTGATGCACAATTCAGAATTTATTCAGAATTAAAGGAATACACAGTGCGATTAAACATGAAGTACATGAACCATTCCTATGTTTTTTCACAGGTGAAACTGAAACAAGTGTGTCAGAATGGTATCTGGTTGAAATGAAAGTAATGCTGGTACTTTACCATTTTTGTTAATTGTTACCTACGACAGTCAAAGTCAGTGACCATCTACCCAATCTTGCAAGAGGCTCGTTTTCCAAATATGAGTTCCGGTAAGCAGAAATACAAATGAGATCAGTTTGAGCACATTATGAAGATTTTTAAACTGCATATTTCTGAAGAAAGCGGTCAAATGCATCATATATCGCTTGTCTAAAACAAGGAAAACAGAAGATAATTTGGGAAAGGGCAGATATACGTGGCGTATGTCCATATATTTACAAAGCTATCATCACAATTTCACAACAACATTCAATAAAAATGTGTTACTAGGTAGTCTTTTCTCCTTCGCTTATTTCTGGGATCTCTCACTTCAGTCCAGTAATACGTTTATGTTTCAGGAATAAGTGGGAGTCTGTTTACCAACTTTAATATGAGTGCAAATGTTAATGGATTAGAAGTTTTCTACCCAAACATGACAGGAAATGGGTCAAGAGACATGGATAATTTATAATTTTTGAGCAACTGTCATAAAATAAGGCTGGAGTTTTAAATAGCAATAAGCTAGTGGTCAGCATACCTTGAGCTGGTATTATTACTATATATTACTATTTCTTTTCATTGCTGCTAAATAGGATGTACAGTCTTACTAATTCCTTATATTTTTAAATTTACAGCACAAGTATTTAACTTTTTAGAACTAAGGAGATGCATTTATATAACTGATTTATATAACTGTCTTCAGAAAATCGCCTAGTCTTACTAAGGCAAGAATTCATGTAAGTACTACTCATTTGCAGTCAAGCTTATATTTTAATTCTCATCTTCATTCTTAAACTTTCCTGTTTGCCTTACCTAAAGAGTCCTTGTTTGAAGAGGTAGGCACTGACGTGACCTCCATCCAGATACCGAATTTCACATCCAGGCCAGATTTCTTGGAGACTGCGCACCCCAGTTCGAGGGATATATGCATCCTCCTTAGCTTGTACAACTATGATTAAACTTGGGTCAACTGGAACTAAGGAAAAACAAATCAAAATTTAATTAATCTAAGGTAAGAAACAGAAACATGCCAGCTGAGATTTCTGTTGTAAAAATGCTCTCTATTTCTAAAAAAATTAGAACTATTCTAAGCTTTAATAAAATTCTATTTTCTAAAGTCTCCAGCAGAATTTATCTGCTTGACATGACACTAGTGAGGCCATCAGTAGGAAAACAAGCTAATCAATCCTCTTCCCTCCCCTAAAGCAGAAAAATTCACAAGTCTTTAAGGAATGACAGAATTGTCTGTCCTCTTATCAACAAAACTCTCTAGCATTCAGGTCAGTTCTCAGAGATCTTTTTCACCAAAAAGAACTCGGACACATCTGAAATTCAATAGAGTAGAAGCTGCGCATATTTTTTTTCCTCAAGAGGAAGAAAAAAATACATCTTTTCATATGAGAGTTCAAAGTGCAGTATATGTTCACTTTCTTTTCTGTTTCCTACATTTTTTAGTTACAAGATAAAAAACCCCGACATACTGTTATATATATTTGTTACTCATAACCAGAATTACACCAATCAGATTATTAACAGGAATAACATCAAAATGACCTTGAGAAATACAACATCAAAATGACATTGAACACAGAACAGTTCTCTCTTCACAAAGAATGCATGCGCTATAGTAAAGAGTGAACAGCCAAGATGTTTGACGATGGGGTATCACAAATAATTTTGACCCTCTCCTTTCATATATACTAGATCATAAGTAGAGGATATGCAATGCTAAGATAGATTCTAGTCTTCCATTCAACTTTCCTTGAAATCTGAATGTTAGGCAGATTTTCTGAATCTCCTCTCTAGACACACTCCAAGGATACCCTGACAGGGGGTGCAATGTCTCCCAGAGCATGGAGAGACCTGGGAGACAATTGATACGAAGGTCTACATCACTTTGACAAGTGCATTAGGATCACGGATCCTCTTAAGTTTCAACAGAGGTCAATGCTTTAGCTAAGTGATACCTGGATAAGTGTCTAGATACACAAGAAAGTCTGTACTTCGAATAAAGCTTACAGGGCTTTTTCTGTATACTGAAGTAACTTCTAAAGCTTTAAAGAAAGCACTTCACTAGTATTTGTCACAAAAGAACCCTGGCTAGCAGTGATCTGGGACATTGTCCAAGTCAAGAAATCTATGCTAGTGTAGAAATCTGGATTTTATTTTTTAACATTCACCAGTGGAGTACTGAATGCCAGAATTAAAAAATGAGGTGGCACAGGGTCTCAGTATCAAGAATGTTTTGACATTCAAAGACAACTATGCCAGAAACCTGTCTGAAATCAAAGTATGATCTAGGACATGTTGAGAATCCTCAGTGGGTACATGTGCAGTTGAACCATTTTTTTATGATTGGATGGCCACAAAAGCGATTCCAAGGCCCCACTCCAGCAAAACCTTTTCAATCAGCTCTAGGAAGAAATCACTTGTTTGCATTGCCTGCAAGCTGGCTGTTGAAAGGGACTTGTCCTAGCCACCAAGAAACACAGATTCATCAGATTTCAGGCTCACTGGGCTACAGCTCCCTCTGCATGCTACGCCTGTCAGGAAACACTATATTCACCAGACTGCACTGTCCCAGAAGGACCTCTGTGCATTTTTACTGGTCACACTTGTCTAAAAGTAGCATTCAAGCTTGGTTCTCAGCTATGTAGGCTACTTTCTATCTGAAGTCAATATCAGATTTCTGCTTTATGAGATTTACTTGAAGCTGCTTGAAAAGCCTTATGAGTGGATTAATAAGATCTAGATATTACTCACATCACATAGGCATTTTGTTCTTTTAAATAATACAAATTTGCACTAACTCATATCAGAAAATAGCCACAGCAAAGCAGTGAAAAAATGAGCAAAGATACTGAAAGGCAAATTTTTAATTCACTTTATCATTGGTTGGCCATTAAAAAGAAACAGAAAGCAATTAAGAAATGGAGTAGTAAATAGATGCTAACAAGTAACACTCAAAATATTTTCATATTTCAGCTAAAATGCCAGCTGGTTTATAGAACAGAAAATGAAGAAAATACCTTTCCTTACATCGTATTTTATTCAGTTTTCCAAACTGCATATTTAAACAAATAAATACATACCTGAGAAGTTAGCTACATGGGTACATTCATCCATTACTCCTTTCATGAACCTTAAGGATTCTCTCTGTAAAGTGTCACTCTTTCTTCTTTTATTTATCATGTGTTCTTCTTGGCTGGTTAAGTTTTTATTGCTGTTGCTACTGGTTGAAAATGTTTGATTTATGCACTGCATTTTAGGACCATCTTGTATTAAGAGTCTTTCTGATGAGGCACTTAGAGCACTTTTATTTGTGGTAAAGCTGTGGACAGCTTCTTTAGATACAGTCTTGTTTGAGGAATCAAGGTCAAACATTCTGGAAGTCACGTCCACATCCTCCAGACTGTCCACACTGTCAGGGAAGTTTTTAACAAAGTCTTGTCCCATCTTGAAAGAATCCGTCTAAACAAAGACAACAAGTCATTTATTAAGGGTTTTCCCTATAAAACAAGTTGGTTAATCTTATTTTTAAGGACAACTCAATATTTAAGAAAAATAAAATAAAATAAAAAGATACAAACAGCACTGATCACAGTACTTATTATTTTCAGCCTGCATGTCACTCAATTAAATTCTGATCATAACATCTTGATAATTTAATTCTACATTTCTATCATCTTAAAAAAATGTAGGAAGTACTTATATATGGTAGCTTATGATACAAACATTTGCCTGTTTTTAATTATGTATTAAATTCTGAATTTATCACTGCAGTAATTTAAGCTTAAATTTATGGACAATTAACTCATAAAAGCTATGCATTTCTCAGATTATTTTTTTTCCACTCTCAAAAGAGCAGTAATGACTTTTTGGCAAAGTATTAAAAAATTAACACTTACAGCAATTATTCACAGACATGAAGAAAGATGGGCAATAGCAATAAACAGACATGACCAGGTCTAATGTTGGGTTTAAGACTGAAAAAAATCTACTGTCTCTAAATACTAGTTAGACACAAGCTGAACATCTTGAAATGTTTTGTCTTTTCATTTTAGAATCATAGAATCATTTAGGTTGGAAAAGACCTTTAAATTCATCAAGTCCAACCATTATCCCAGTGCTGCCAAGTCCACCATTAAACAGTGTCCCTAAGTTCCACGTCTACATGTCTTTAAATACCTCCAGGGATGGTGACTCAATCACTTCCCTGGGCAGCCTGTTCCAGTGCTTGACAAACATTTCGGTGAAGAATTTTTCTGCAATATCCAATCTAAACCTCCCCCATCACAATTTGAGGCCTTTTCCTCTTGTCCTATCGCTTGTTACTTGGAGAAGAGACCAACACCCACCTCACCACAACCTCCTTTCAGGTAGTTGTAGAAAGCAGTAAGGTCTCCCCTCAGCCTCCTTTGCTCTAGACTAAAACAACCCCAGTTCCCTCAGCCATTCTTCATAAGTCTCGTTCTCTAGACCCTTCACCAGCTCCATTGCTCTTCTCTGGACACACTCCAGCACCTCAATGTCTTTCTTCTAGTGAGGGGCCCCAAACTGAACACAGTATTTGAGGTGCAGCCTCACCAGTGCTGAGTACAGGGGGACAGTCACTGCCCCAGTCCTGCTGGCCACACTATTTCCAATACAAGCCAGGATGCTGTTGGCCTTCCTGGCCACCTGCGCACGCTGCCGGCTCATACTTAGCCGGCTGTTGACCGACACCTCCAGGTCCTTTTCCACCAGGCAACTTTCCAGCCACTCTGCCCCAAGCCTGGAGCGTTGTGTGGCGTTGTTGTGACCCAGGTGCAGGACCCAGCACTGACCCTTGGAGACTTTTGTCTTCTCTATCAGTGTTCCTGAAGTGTGTTTTACTTAAAAATGGCAAGCACCTAAGTACCTCCAACCCATCCCGTATTCTCCTGTTGTAAAATATCTGAAAAAGGACTGTTGAAAAGAATCTTAGGAAAGAAGTTATTTATCAGAATTGGCTAGAAGACAGTCTTGCAACATATAAGCAAGTCTCAAAAAGTTATCACTTCAACCTAGAAGAGTAGTGAGGAAACAAAATTCCCCTTTGGAAGAGTCTTTCAACCCTAGTCAGAAAGTTGAGAAAAAAAAAAAAAACAAAAACAACAAACAACAACAAAAAAGCAGACAATAAATTATATTTCATAAGGAGCAAGAAGCTAATTACAATAGTTCTACCTCAGGTTTTCCCCAACTGCCTGTGGCATAAACTCTAAAGCTGAGGAAGGGCTAGCATCACACATAGGAACAGAAATAGCAAGGCCTAGCACTTTAAACAAACTAGAAAAGTAACCTAATGTTGCTACATATTCAAAATATTTTACAGCATTGAACATTTGGAAACAATTGCTTCAAAGGGCAATAAAACATGCTTCTATATTTGCATGCCAGACTACTGGCTATAAAGCCAGTTACTGGGAAATACTATCTACAGTTTCAGTGTTTTGACTGGATTCATTTTATGTTGCAGATTACACTGTGTGGTCAGGGAAAAAACTTGTAGCAAGGACTATACTTAACACACATTATACAACCAAAACATTAGCTTCTGTTTTTCAGAAGGTTTTCCTTCCAAGATTAAATTTATCAAAAACATAAGGAAACAAGAGGCAAGCATGTTTTAGGTAACAATTGGCTACTTTTACTGGAAGTAAAAAGAAGTTACTTTATTTGTTAGATTTTCCCGTGTAAATATTAACAAATAGGGAAAATAAACTATACTTACACCACAGTATTCAAGCATTTGAATGATTTCTTCTTCATAAACAGTTTGTGTAAAATACTGTTTCTCCAGCTCTCTCCAGTTCACTGCCTTGCTCAACACACCCTGAGATTATAAACACAAGCATCCAGTACACAAATAAAACCCAGAGATCACTCTAAAATAATGATATACAGAGAAAATTGATCTGTTCCTCTGTGACTTAATTTTTCCACTGGACTTCTGCCCAAGTTTCCAGATAACCTTTAGAATCACTGGAATCAAAGCATAAGAACATATTATAACATAGGACATGGAAACCCACCTCCCTTTAAAAAACAGACCAAAGGAAAAAGAGCAGAAAAGAAGGCAAAAACCAGTCCCACTTAGGGCTTACACATATTTAGACAGCGCTAAACCAACAATGGGGGTAAAAGCCAGTCTATTAATTCACCTACCCCAGCAGCAGTAGTGAAAACAAGTACCCCTCATGGTAGGAGCAGCACTATTACCCAACTACCTAAGCCAGGCTTTGAGCAGAAGAAAGCATGTTTTCACAGCTTGCTTCCCCACCTTCGGACCAGAACTCTAATCATTGTCCCACAAACCATCCCCAGCCCTTAACTGGGTACATGACCCCCCTGAAGGAGCCCAAAGCCACCTGCCTTACCCTGCCTTGTATACCCTGAGCAGGAAGGGTGGGGTTTGCCACTAGTCACTAGTAGAGGCGGAAGAGTGATGAAATGCCTGAATTGAAAAGGTGAATGTGGCCAACCCAAACCTTTTAAGTTATATATCTGATTACGTTCTAGTATCTTAACAAAAATGGATGTTAATTACCGTAGTAAAGACTGCAGAAGCTGTTGACCAGGAAAGACATGGAATCAATGGCAACGGTTTAGGCCAGTTTGTCACTGCCAGTGAAGCCATCTAGAATCAAAGGCACTTATTACATATTTTAATATTGAATTCACAGTATGGTAAAAAGAACTCTCTCACCTTCAATTTATTTGTTTATACAGTATCAAACAACTACACAGTGTCAAAGCAGTTAAGGACTGTGGCAGATAGATATACTTTCATCTATTCAGAAGACACAGCCTATTCTTCAGTGATTTCCCTAACGATAAACACTGCACTGGATAGGACTAATTTCAAGACTGAATGGGTTTTTGTTACAAGAATTCCCAATGGAATATTTATTCTGACCTTTTAGTTGTTTAAAATCATGAAGAACATCTGTAAAGCCTTTTCATCAAGCTCTTGTGAGCTTATTTCAAGGCAAAACGAAGGTCATATATGAGAAGGACTATTTAAAATTCTATACTTTTAAAATTTGTATACTGGAAACAAAATGTGGAGGAAAAGTAATTCAGCATGTTAAGTGGACTCTTTTCCTGTCCTTTAATGTTTAAATTATTACTTTTACATCAATTCTTAGAATTTTTGTGAATATTATGTTTATCCCAGAAAAAAACAGAGCAAAGAAGCTCAGTGTACAGAAGTTCCCTATATGGTATGTTCTTGACAATTTTAATTTATTGCTCTAATCTGAACAATAGTCTAAACCCCTTAATACCAAATACTCCATGTCTGTGCCAGATATTCTAATAAATGGATTTATACAACTGAACTTGAATTCTATTCTAATTATTTTTTATTACTACAAAGTTACACCACCACGTATCTATGTGCTGGTAGCCAGAAAGTCTGACTTCTTTCTTCCTAGTTCTAGCTTTCCCCATCAGTAGAACCAAATTAATGCTACCTACCTTCTGTCATAAAACACTTTATATAGACAATTAACATAAAATATATTTCCCTGGTTTTAAATTGTACTAGAAGTCCTATAAGTCAGGACTAGCCAAAAATGCATCTTCCTGCACTAAGAAAAAAAGTCAAAGGAGTTTCCACTCACTCCCTCAGATCTTCCTCCTTCTATACCCCCACTGTATATGATCATTGATATAGGATACAGTATGCAGTTATTCTCATAGCATTTGCACAGCATTGAAGTGTCCTGCACAGTTAGAGGTGCATATACCTGTTTAAGCATTCCAATCCAACTTACAAATAGGACAGGGAAGGCACGTTTAACACGAAAGTTGTTTCAGCAAGGTGATTTTTGTGTAAATCAAGGGTGCTTTGTACATTTAGGACACTTAGAGTTATAAAATTATGCTTTGGGGGAAAATTATTTTCCTGTCAGTAGACACTACCATTACCAACGTTATTTACTTAGCTCCCAACAACAAACAAACAAGGATCAGCAAAACAGAGCTATGTTGTTTTAATAAGCTTTGTACCTATGTTTCACAGACCAATTATTATCTGCAAACACACAAGCAGTTATATTTTAACTGTGTATTAGTCTTTCAAGCATCTTACTAATATACTGCTGTTTCAGTTTGAATATGCACAGTGTCATACACAAAATGTTATCCACCTCACCACAGAAATCTTCTCTAATCAATACCAATTATTGGGGAAATAAAGATGAGTTGGGAACAGAACTGAGACCAAAAGTCACCTCAATTACAACATGCCAACACAGAGGAGGCATTTCACAGAAGGCATTCAAACACAAAAGTTTAAGCAAGAAGAATGGAAGAAAAGAGGGAGAACTAGCAATTGATCAGTACAGACCTTCTTTCAGAAAACATTTTGCCCCCACCCCCCGTGGAAAAAACCATACTTACGTGAGAAGTTTATATTCCTATTAAGCCTGTTAGGAGATGGCTGACAAAGGGTTCTATGATTTGTCAGTATTTATTGAAGCTTATTCTAATTCAGCATCACAGAACATGAGAATTGCCAATAATTTGTTTCTCATGACTCTAAATGTTTCATTTTAAAGTAATTCGGAGAGGAATACTATGAAACAAATTATTTCTGTATGCTAGATGATCAAATGAGAAGGTAAAACAAAAATTACTGAACAGGAAATATAAAAGCTTACATGTCCTCCCATGGATATTCCAGTCATCCCTAGCGGTCCATAGCCTTCTCTCTCTAGCCAGTGCAAAAGAGCTGCCGATTCTAGAACAAGAGCTCCTCCCATCACAAACAGGTCCGAGACATTTTTTAAACATGACCGCCTTTTCTCCCCAGAAAAGGAAAATATAGGATTTATTTTCTAAGATTAGATTTTGACAGTTCTCATAAATCTATACATGCTTTTATACAAAGCCTGATCACAATCCCAGAGAATTTTGGAGCTGAACTGCTGTGGATCCAACAGGAGAAAAAGCAAGTCCAGATTCTCTGACAATTCTACTTTTTCATCTAAATGAGAACTAGAAACAGACACCTCCTAAGCTTCTAACGTAACGTCACTGACAGCCTGGTCTTCTAGAAACAGATATTACCAACATTAGAATCTCATTAGTAGTAATCTTCTGTCCTGTAAAGTTATAACGTATCTTTTAGAAATAGAATCAAAATGATACAGTCCTAGACATACACTATTTCACATTTGTAGAAAAAAAATTCTTTTCTCTCTCTCTTTTTTTTTTTTTTTTTTTTTTTTTCTTATTTACCTGTTTTACATGATTGAAAAATTGCACACAACATTTGAAGAGCAATCAGTATGTCAGCTTTGGAAGCACTCATCAGTGTCACTGTAAGACTGAAATTGTAAAGTGGGAAGTTTGTCACGGTACTGAGAAATTCATGTAGTGTACTGCAAAGCATTAAAACACAAAAGAAAAAAAAAGTAGAAAGCTATTCAGCTGAACCATCAGAGGGACTCAAAAAGCAAAAAAAATAAATGTATTTTACAGATAAATTAATACACCTTGAATTCAGGGAGGGGGACTGTATATTTTCAGTATCACACAGTCAGGTTACAAAAGGCTCCTGAGCTCTTCCACCAGCATGTAAGGACAAAGCTTACTGTGAGAGCCACAGGAGAACTGAACATAGCTGCTGCAGACCAGTATTTATAGGCTAATGTAATTCTTTCCTACAGCTTTGTTATGAGATTCCTCAGCCCTCTCCAGCTGCTGTATTTATTAAACACTTACTAGCATATCAACCAAAACCACTGCTGCTGCTTTGTAACCTTGTATTGAAGCGTAACAACTACTGATTGGGGTATTAGACTGTGCACTCCCCTTTCAAAGAATCCTTCTCTACCTCACACATATACAAAGCTGTCAAGCTAGACAGCCGAGAACGGAGTTAGAAATATCCTTGCCAAAATATTTAATTTATTCTTCTGCATCTGATCCTCAATAACTGGAAAAAACCCCACCACTGGATGTATTCCAGCACACACTCTCCTGTCACTTTTCTATAATCTTACACTTCTAAATGCAACAATAAATATATATGTATGTTTAAGCAGTTTTCCTATCAAAAAAATAATTTTACAACAATCAACTTCATTGGTAAATGCAATTCACTTATTTTAAAAAGTGGTTCTTATGTCAAAATAGGTAACATTCAGCATCTGCTTTGCAAAAAGCCTATTTTGTCAGTTAAAATTTTCTCCTCAAAAGCAGTTTTTATTGAACTTTTGGATTTAGAAAATCCAAATGCTGATATCTAAATAAAACCGAGAAAATCTAAAATGTCGTAGTGTGAAACAGTGCTCCTGGTGAAGTCCTGATAGAATGGACAGGTTTAAGAATTTCAGCTTTAAAAATACATCACCTTCTAAGCATCTTCTACTGATGTTAAATGTCCAAGCTAGGATTAAAAAAAGATTAAAACACCAACTCATATTTGGACTTTAAGAAATATTGGTAGACTAAAATCACAGCTTTGCCTCAGACACATACCCTACTGAATTCTGTTTATATTCCAGTGGTTCAGAAAATGTGAAAAGCAAAAAACCAGTACTGCCTAATTGGGCTTCTAAATTCATATTTAAGAAATTCACCAAGGAAGGCAAGTTCTGTAAAATACTGAATATTGCATAGTTTCCACTGACAACCAAACAAGCAGCACCAAATTTATTTACATGTCTGTGGTCCCCTTGAAACATCTTGGAAAAGCAAATTCTTAGCACTTGCAACAGGCAAGTATGCTATCTGAACAAAGACTATTCACAGTTGAAATACAACTGCAGCATTTGTACATGCACTTTTGTGAAGCGGGAAAATAAACTGATACTTGCTTGCATTTACAATCATCCCACTCTACACTGCAAGTTCATCTTGTTCAAACTTTCCTGATCACTGTGATCCCAACACAAAAAATGTCAAAGCAGCCTAGCAAAGGGTAGACAATTTCACATTAACAGGTTACAAGTAGTCCATGCTTGAGATTTTTTTTTTTACTTAAGCTATCAAAGTTTATACTACTTTGAACTTCTTGAGGAAAAAAAAGCGGTATTTCAAAAAGACAGTATCCATAAGTGTAACAGTAATACTTACAATTGATCCTTAGGTTTCCTACAGCCATGTAGAAGACTCAAGTTAAAGAAAGTAAAAAAATTTTTATATAAAAACTGGCAGTTAAAATTTAAAAATTAAGTAAAATTAAATAAATCATACACATAAGTAGTACACTGATTAATTAAAATTTGGGGCTTAAATTTCAAATGTTTAACTGGAACTAAATCACGTTAAATGTAGTTTGATGATGTAGTTTGCAACAGAAGATTTTACTTTCGTCAGGTACAAGAGTATGAAGAAAGTGTAACCAGAGATCCTATTTAATAAAACAGGGTAACAGTGTTATAGAATTTACTGATGACTTGATAACAGGACAGAACTTATTTTTTTAAAAAACAAATCTTCAATGGTAGCACTAAGTTTCTCAAAAGTACCTGAGGTACCAAAGGGTTGCATTTGAAAAGGGAAGGCAGGAGAGGCAATTCTCATTTCTGTCATTAATACATTCAGAAGCCAAACAGTACTGTGTTTCGTGCAATGGTCATACTTTGCTCTTTGCTTCTATCCACTGAAAAGCGCACTGGAAATTGATCCACAAAATAGGTATTATACCAGTGTGTTACGTCTTCTACCTTCTGGAGAGAACACTGAGAATAAGTATCTTGCTTTTTACAAAAGGATATAGTAAGGATTTTCTAGCAATAGGGAAGCCATACAGGCTTCCTTAATCATTGGGCGTGCCATTAATGTGCGTCTCCTCCAGAAGTGCTAAGATAAGATGTACAAACATACATTAACAAAATCTGATTATTTAATTTCTCCATAACAAGCAATTTTACATTTTACATACTCACATGATCTCCAGTGCCTGCTAAATGAATGCATACAGGTCTGTGCTTGCTATTCCATCTTCTGGGTATGATGAACTGAAATCTATGAGAAACAAACATCTATTTTAGCATAGCAAGTGTATCTATTTACAAGCTCCACCAGATAAATTAATCTTAAAAAGAAAAAAAAAAAAAAGCAAGCAAACAAACAAAAAAAAAAAAAAAAAAAAACAAGAGAAGAAAAAGACAAAATAAAGTGTTTTCATAACCCATGCAGGCAAACTGCCAGTGATTCAGCAATACCATTTTTCATAAACACATCCAGCAAAGAAAGGAATCCTACAGTAAGACAGAATAAACACCAAAGAAGAAAAGGAGCCAAGCTGAATGATCTTGTTCCTAAAAAAGACCACTACCTCATCATGACAAATTAAATTTTGCAGAGTGGAGAAATGAAACTTCAGATAAAGAACAGCCTAAACAAGTATGACTAGCTCTTCTAGGCAGCATTGCTATTTTTCTCCTGAGGACACAACAACTGAAATTGAAGATTAAGACGAGCAATATATTTAAATTTTTAAAAAATCAGAAACTCAACATACAAACCATGTGTCCTGGTTTTGGCTGGGATAGAGTTAATTTTCTTCATAGTAGCTGGTATGGGGCTATGTTTTGGATTTGTGCTGAATACTGTTCTATACATCTAACATCAATCACTTAATGTCTTCTGCTGCTACTCAATTTATTTACATTCTAACTACTGGGGGGGGGGGCAGAAATCACTTCTGAGCCACTAGTATTTTCCCCACAAGATGGAGCAGTTACCTACAACAGTGTTACTACACTTTGGAAAACAAAAAAAAACATTCACACAATGCATAACGATCTTAAGGGAAATTTGTAGAATATTTCAAAACTGTAACAATACTGTCCAATGTAACAATTAGCATAACTTAACTACAAACTGTAAAAGAACATAGACAAGGAAACAATCGGTATACTAGATTTTCCAGTATAATTAGTCCAATAATGCTCAGAGAGGTGGAAGAGAACTGGTACTTTGACTATCAGACTTTTTCTGACATCCCTTAGTGTTACAGGTTTAAGTACACATAAAACCACCAAACAGTAATATTGATAAAATTGACAATGACAGTATCAATTTGAGATGACAAATTTTTATGTTTATTTTTTTAAAGTTATTAAACAAAGATTGGGAAAAAAATTCCATCATGAAAATTTAGCTCAAATCTAAAAGCAAAGAGAACTTATGCTCCCTTTCCAAACCCACTCCTCGACTGCAAAGCAGCGTTAGTGTGAAACCAGCAAAAATGCCATTAGGTATCTTCTGACTTAGGAATCATCCAGCTTTCTGTGAGGATGCTTTTTTTTTTTTTTTTTCCTGGCTTGTCAAGTAAGAAAGGCACCAGATTCTCTTGCTGCAATTAAATGAACTTACAACTTCAGTGCACATACAGTATTTTTTTATTCAATGTAAATAAAACCCTGGAATGGTTCCTTCAAATAGTATAACAAGCTTCTTTCATATGAACAGTTTCTCCTGCTATGTATAAAACAAACATCTACTGTCTTGTCTACAGTATTCTTCATTTCCAGCATCCTGATCATTTGGAAAAAAACATATCATTTAAAAAAACCCCAAGGTATTCCACACCTTTGTGCAATATGGCTTCTACACTAAAGAAAAGTCCCCTAACTTTGTATGTCCTTTGCTAGGAGTCATATTTTTATTTACACACAGACTAAAATATCACATGAATAAGATTTATTTTCACTTTTGAGACCAAAATCTATTTCAACACATTACTACAAAAAACAGTTTGAAATATTTTACAGATAACTTGTATTACAATAAGTAAGATTCACAATGAAACTACTTATAGACCATTCTTAGTTCTCTACAGTACTAGTTTCACAAAGGAAATACTACTTGGTTTCTCTTACCTTGCTACAAGAGATTCAACTGGCAGGATACCTGGGACATAATGAGCCAATGGGGAAATGAAGTGGCCCTCAAGGATTTTACAGTCCGATTGCTCCTCAACCTACAGAGGGAAGAGGATGATAGCAGTGTATTTCATATCAGTGTTTAACTTGCTCTGAAAGCCAATCTCCTAACACAGAACAATATGTTACAGGATAAAAACGTACTTAAACAACTAAGCTGAGGTCTATTTCAAATATAGGGATACACATATTATCAACAGAGTCAAAACTTTTGTTTCAAACTTTGATTTATTAAATGACCTACAAAAGGAATCAAGGAATAAATGCTGTCCCATTTTAAATAACTTCCATAACACATCCTAAGTTTCGAGCACTTTTTGAGCTTTAAGATCTGACATTCCACTCCCTCAACTATTGTATTACTGGGGAAAAAATAAAACAGGATCTCTAGAGCTGCTGCTTTATTGTCTCAGTTTCTTTCCATTCTCTGCTAGTAGCCAACGTGACTGCTCCTCTTCCCATCCCTTCCAACCCCATTTCTTATTTTTGCCATTGCCTCCTAGTTCTATCCACTGCAGCTTAATTAAAAGAGGAAAAAAAAAAAAATCAAACCAGCAAACTTTTAAAGTATTTAACTTACCACAGCATTGACCACCAGGGCCTTTCTTTGATTTTAGAGCTAACTACTCTTTATTTTGGACCCCATATTCATACTTTCTGGATTGAAAAGGCTTCAGGGCAAATGGTTACTTGTACCTGCACACCTCCCTTAGAAACACAAGGCCTCCTTTTTCTAACAAGAGCATTTGAGAACTCACACTACATTGATTTCTTTTGCCCCTGCAGCTTCACTTCCTCTTCCCTCACAGATACATTCTAATGTCCGTTTCTTGATATAAAGCAACTGGGAACACCTGTGGAGTCAGTTAATGCCAACTCTTAGAAAAGGGGTGATCAGCAAAAGCTAACTGAATATTGTCAGAGATGCATTCACCACCCACCCCTATGTACTCCCTAACTCAAGTCCCCAGCTGCTAATCCCAGCAGTAAGAAGTCATGCTGTGATAATGTCAGACATTAGGAAAACGTAGATTCACATGACATCAAGATTCAACTCTTCTATCATATAAAAGCAGCCTCATAAGTACTAAATTGACTTCACCTTTATATAGCATCAGGAAAATTTCATTATATTGCATCATCCCTTGCTTTTAAATACCTTGTCAATGAACACTGGGTAATCTTTCGAAACCAGCGTCTGGCATTTTTCCCTGTTTCCAATAATCTTTCTGAATTCAAATATTCTGTTGAAAGGAAAGAAGTAGAGAAGATTCAACTTTTAATCTAAAAAAAAAGAGAAGATATGTATAAAAAAAAAATCATGAGCTAAAGTAAGCCACAAAAAACAAAATTTACAAAGCCAGTTTTATATTTACAGATTAATCAGGCTATCATAGGGTAGGTATATAAGAATGTTTTTAAGTTGTTTTTTTTTTTTAAAAAAAAGATCAGGTACATTGGTTGCAGTTGCATAGCTCTTAAATAGTATTTTACACCCAATATGTTGAAAACTTACGTCATTTTTCATGGCCAAATTAAGGCATAGCAACGTCTTACACTTGCCACATTGGGGCAATACAGACTGAATGGGTGAAAAACAGGCTGGACTGTCAACATGAATGTCACCAATGCTCTGAAGTCTAGCTGGAAACAAGTTAGTAGGAACACTTAAGGAAGTTCATGAATGACACAAACTGGAGGGTGAGGTTGACAGCTGGAAGGTAGGGCTACAATTCAGTGACCTGGATAAGCTAAAAGTCAACAAACATGATAAAGCTCAACAATAAAACTGCAAAATCTGGCACCTAAAACAGAAGAGCTCCATGCAACAACACAGGCTGAGAACTGCCCAGCTAGGTAGCAGCTGGGCAGGAAAAGGCACGGGGTTTCTGGTAGACAGCAAACTCAACAGGAGCTGGCAGCACATCCTTGTGGCTAAGAAGACCAGTGGCATGCCCTCTGCTTTTAGCAAGAGGGCAGCCAGAAGGTCACAGGAACCGGGTTTGCACCGCTGGGGAAACAGAAGGCTAAGGGGCAGATGTAGTTGCTCTCTTCTGCTATTTAAATGGGCTGCAGAGTCTTACAGAGAAAATGAAACAAGACCCTTCTCAGAGTTATTCAGTAAGAGAACTAGAGGTAATGGTTGCATGTTGCAACATAAT